GGTATAATTTTTTTGTTTTGATGAATGCAAATTTTAGTTCATTATTGTCTTAGTCTGTTCCTGCTGCTAAAACAAAATTACCTTAGACTGGGTAATTTATAAGCAACAGAAATTTACTGCTCACAGTTCTGGAGGCTGGGAAGCCCAAGAGCAAGGCACCAGCAGATACGGTGACTGCTGAGGGCTCACTGTCTGCTTTATAGGTGGCGCCTTCCCGCTGCATCTTCACACGGCATGGTAAGGGACAAACATGCTCCCGCAGGCCCTTTCATAAAGGCACTAGTCCCATTGATGAGGGCAGAGCCCTCATGATCTAATCACCTCCCAAAGGCCCCACCTCCTCATACCATTTACTTGGGGATTAGGTTTCAACATATGAATTTTGGGGACACAAATGAATGTGGGGGACACATTCAGACCACAGCAATTATGAAATGTATTTGTTTCATTTCTTGATCTGTACTGTGTATCATGTGGAGGAGGGAAATGAATGTGCTTTGTATGCCATTGGCTTGTTTAACTCTGCAGAAGAGGACCTTGATCCCATGGGGATGGCTGGGGAAGTGGCCAGAGGGATGGACTGGGCTGGACCCCTGATTTCCTGGGCTTCTCAGCCTAACTGCAGTCTTCCCTGACCCCCACCCCAGCTCAATCCATCTAGGGATGAGGTTCCCCAGAGGTAGCCTGCAGCCACCCCCTTGCATTGGGTGGGAGGGGCAGGCGAGGTGGAATGGCTGTAGCTTAGCCCTGAGCACAGCCTGATAAGGAGCAGAGGCCCCAAGTATGCCAGGTGCCCAGCAGCCTGATCCTGCCCTCTTCCATCCTACCCTGCCCTCCCCGCTGTACTGATAGAAGGGGTGCAAAATATACCTCTCTGGCATAAGGATTAGTTTGAACTGAAGACATTTGAGAATCAACAGATGCAGCAAGAGGCTTTTTTCTGAACTACTTTTATCTTCTAAAAGCAGAGCCTTCCAAAAGAATTCAAATGTCATAAATCCCCTCCCTAGAGTTTGGGAGTTTCCCAAGCAGGGAAGATTGATTCATTTTATGAGACTAGAAGAGAAATTACACCAAGATAAGAAGTCACTTAAACAAACATTGTCACAAACTATCGTATCTCCCATCTATTCTAAGGGCCTATTTCCATTTATCTTTCCTAAAAGTCATTTGTTTTCCCAAAAGTGCCCTTTCTCTCCATTCCTTCCCCATTAAGATTTTATATCAGCCCTAAATTCTAAACCACTTTTTTGAACCACATTTTCTGTGAGCTCCTGCTTTTGTTTATGAATAAACTTTGTGTTTTTGCCTGTTAATATTTTGGCAGTTTAATTCACAAACACCCAAGCTCTGAACCTAAGTGTGTAGAGGAGAAGTTTTTCTTTTCAACATGATAATAATAAAAATAATAGTAGATAAACTTTATTGAGCATGTACCATATGTCAGGCCCTCTTCTAAACCTGTATATATATATATTATCTAATCTAGTCTTCCCAACAACTCTTTGAGGTCAGTACTGTTATTTAAAAATGCAAAAATTAAGGCATAAAGAGATTAAATGGGCAAGGTGGCTCACGCCCGCCTGTAATCCTAGCACTCTGGGAGGCCGAGGCGGGTGGATTGCTCAAGGTCAGGAGTTCAAAACCAGTCTGAGCAAGAGCGAGACCCCATCTCTACTATAAATAGAAAGAAATTAATTGGCTAACTAATATATATAGAAAAAATTAGCTGGGCATGGTGGCGCATGCCTGTAGTCCCAGCTACTCAGGAGGCTGAGGCAGTAGGATTGCTTGAGCCCAGGAGTTTGAGGTTGCTGTGAGCTAGGCTGACGCCATGGCACTCACTCTAGCATGGTCAATAAAGCAAGACTCTGTCTCAAAAAAAAAGAGGTTAAGCGACTTGCCCAAGGCATGAAGAATAAGTGGTAGAACCAGAATTTGAACCTGGTCATTCCCAGAATTTAAGGTGTTGAGTTTGAGAGAGGCCACAGGTGCTGAGTTCTGCTTCTGGCTCTGCCCCCACTGGCTGTGTAATATTGGGCCTCAGTTTCCCTGTCTTCCAAGTGGGGTGGTAAGGTCCCTCTTGGCTCTGATAGTCCTCAACCACAAAGTAGTGGGGCTGGCAAGGACACTAACTTGAGTGTGGTCTGTCTACATGGTCAGCAGAGGGAAGTCATGCTACAGGAAGCCTTTGCTACAGAGCGAGGGGCTCTGGACTGAAGGCCCGAGACTGCCCAGCTCTGGCTGCTCTGCCCAGCTCTGCTGGTGCCTTGCTATGGGCCTTTGGGCCAGTTGCCTGTCCTCTCTGACAGCGCCTGCATGTCTCATCTACTCGGTCCTCAGGCTATAAGATCAGAGGAGAGGACAGAAACTACATAGAGTGTACCCACAGTGCAAAGGGTGTGACTGTGTGAATTGTGACTCTCAAGTTCCAGTGATACAGTGACCACAGCACCAACATATGAGCGCTGCCTACTTTAGCTATCTATCAGGATGGTACCTAGATTCGAGGGGGTTGTGCAGCCAGCATATGCACTGATCCTATCAAGGTGAACACTTAAAGTTTAGCTGATTTGCATATAGCCAACCATAGTGAACAAATGGATGGCAATATCCCCAGGGAACCCATGGCATAATTCATAATATATCAATATAATATTTATATATAATATTTTATCATTCATATGTAATATATAATACATATTATGTATATATCAATATTATATATAACATGTCTTTGTCTTGGCTTGCTGGCACAGAGTTCCTAAAACCCTTAGAATTTCCTGAGTGATAGATGTGTCTTTTATTATTCATAATGAGCCCGTTTATTATACCTGAGTTTATGCTAATGAGGTAACTCAGCCTACACATGTGATTGGACAGTGAGAACAAGGAATGGGCCTGGAAATTGGATTATAAAAACTCTTGAGGATGGCATGGTGGCATACGCCTGTAAATCCTAGAACCCTGGGAGCCCCAGGAGTTTGAGGTTGCTGTGAGATATGACGATGCCACTGCACTCTAGCTAGGACAACAGAACAAAACTCTGTTTCAAAAAAAAGAAAAAAACTCTTGGAAATGAGTTTCACTTCCAGGTTGGTGAACACTTCAAAGTGCCGGGGTTGGTACCCCGCACATCCTCCCCGCATCACTCCTGTTAGTTGTTCCTTTACATCCTTTATAATAAACCTGTAAATGCACATAGCATTTTCCTGAGTTCTATGAGTCATTCTAGCAAATTATGGAACCAGAGGCAGGGTTTGTAGGAGCCCACACACACACACATATATATATACACACACACATATATATATACCAACCATATATATATAACACACACACACACACATATATATATAATTAGCCGGGCATGTGGCCATGCCTGTAGTCCCAGCTACTCGAGAGGCTGAGGCAGAAGGATAACTTGAGCCCAGGAGTTGGAGGTTGCTATGAGCGAGGCTGACGCCATGGCACCCTAGCCCTGGCAACAGAGTGAGACTCAGTCTCAAAAAATAAAATAAAATAAGAAACATACAAATTTGGGGCGTACACATGTTCAGACCACAGTAGGTCCCCAGCACAGAGTATAAGAACTATGAACTTTCTTACCCCATGGCACTTGCTCCCATGTTAGGGTGCATGCTGTCCCTCAGCAACTCTACAGTTTGCAATAAAAGGCAGGTCTATGTCAGGAGGCACTAAGTATTGCTATGGAGAGAATTTCAAACCAGATCTGATGGAGAAGAACATTCTAGGAAGCCACTACCATTAGAGAGAGAGAGAAAGACTCTATAAGAGCAAGGCAAATCACCACAGCATCCACCTAGAGCTTAAGGTACGAAGGCTTTTTTGGTTCTGCCCCAAAGGAACACGTATGTGTGGTATATGCATTAATAGAAATTTTACTATAAATAAGTGGAATGATTTTATATTGAGTACTTTTATGTTGAATAATCCTATCATATGAATAATTTGGAAATGCTACCCATCTTGGAAACAGAAGTTGGTGCAGGGCTAAGGTGCTAATACTTTATCAGGGAGGTGCAAGCCCAGTGAGAGGGAAGAACGGGGGAGTAAGGCCAGGGCAGGTGGGACAGGATGTGGCTGACGTGGTACTGTGCTGGCCACGGCTTCCAACAAGCCTGGGTGACACTGCAGGTGGCTTTGCGTGGGATGGTGTCCAGGGGCTTTCAAGGAGAAACCGCACCTTGGAGAGTCCAAGGAGAGAGGAAGGAGGGAGAATTTATCTGCCAGCTCATTCCCATCCCTTACTTTGCATGGGTCCAGTTTCACCCAGGTCGGGGAGCTGACTCACGGCACACTTGGGTTTCTTCACCAAACTCCTCAGTGGCCAGACTCTGGCCTGCAATGTGGTATTTACCCAATTCTAAAAGCGGAGGAGTGGCTTGGCACTGGTGGTATGCAATGAAGAGAAATAAAGCAGATTGCTGAGGGACTCTGAGCAGGCACCCAAAGTTTGCATCTCCAGTCTTTGGGGCCCCAAAATTTTGGGTTACCAAAAATTACTTTGAAGTCAATAGAATCAGTGGAATGAGTTCACTGCAGGTGAAGCTACAGTTTCTTCATCTGTGAAATGAAGATGAAATTGGCTGAGGATGACCTTCCCCCAACATCACCCCCATCCCGCACTCCCACCTTTGACGGTTTCTAGGGGGAAAGGCCAGCAGAGGCCTAGCACTGCTCATTCACCTGTCACCTGCTGTCTGGGAACCTCTACAAGCCATTCTTTCAACATAGCCCAGCCAGGGCCCAAGAGTTCCATCCACGCTCCTAGCACCACATACTGTGCACCAGTGACACATAAGTAAATCGGACCCTCTCCATGCTATTTGATTGCTAATAATAATAATCATAGCCACTCTGTTGCCATCTTTTATTGAGCACCAGTTTTGTGTTGGACATATACACATCAACATGTATATGTGCACCTTGTTTAATACCACAACATTGAAGATATCTATCACTTTCCCATTTTACAGACGGAGAAACTGAGGCTCAGGTATGCTCTGGGATTTGCTCAAGATCACTAAGGAGTATGCAGGACCTAGTTTAGACTCAAGCAGTCTACGGTTTGAATTTCTGTGAGGAAAGCAATTAAAGAACATGCTAGAGGATACCCAGCATTCTGTAATCAGGTGGGTGTTATCAATTTGCTATAAAGTGGCTGCGTCCTTTAGAGTTGCACACACTTCAGGACAAAGTTCCTGGGCTGCTGCCTGTCTGGGTAAGTGTGTGTGCATGTGAGTGCTCACCCGGAACAGTGAGGCTCCCTTCTGCCTTCCACGATGCAGCACAGTCCTGGTGCCACGGCTGAGCCTGGGCTGTTCATAGTGGAATTATCATCTGAACAGAGCTTGGGGGCACACAGAGTCAGGGATAAACTTGTGTCAACAGGCTGTGGGATCTTCTGTCCTTTACCCCCTTGTCTTTTGTCTTTCCTTCCTGGACAGATGCCCCCTCCAGCAGCTGGCCCAGAGCATCTAGCCACTCCTGAGAAATTGAACCTATACCACCCTGGTCTGGGGCCAGCATGCTATGAGAAGTGCCCTTCCAAATTCTATTTATCAGGAAGTCAATGCCTGGGACATCATGGTCATTCACCTCAATAGAACAAATAATCTTAATAAGTGGAAAAATTTTTTAAGCCGCCAAACTGCTGTTCTATTTGCTAAAACTGGTGTCAGTAATTTGGCTTCAATCCCCAGGAAAATACCATATGGAGAAAACGTTTACGGTTGCAGGTGTATGCAGACCAATGAATGCAGCCAATTACACGTTGTGCATATGAGCAGGGAAGTGAGTGTTTGAAAATGTTATCTTTCACCTGTTCAGAGACAAAAGATAAAATTTTTCAAAAAGAGAAAAGCGGCACCATGCAAACAGAAAATGAACAGTGACGATGCAGATGGTTGATGATAAATGTTCCATACAAGGCTGTAATTTTTATTTGCCAAGTTGCAATGCCCCATGCTTCCCCAAAGTGAGATTTTCCTCTGAGGAGGGGGTTTGTGATTCTCCTCAGGACCCCGGGTGTTGCTGATGCGGGCACAGCACGGGGACCAGGGCTCCTCAGGGAGGACCTCCCACTGGGACGCCACACACAGCCCACAGACAGGGCAGGGCCCTGCACAAAGAGGGCCGAGCTTGGTTTAAAGCACTGGGATAAATTGACACCTTGAAATTCTTCATATTCTTATCTTTGAATTTGTGTCTTGTAAGTGAAGTCCAATGAGGTCATTGGGCATGTGGTGAGAGCTTGGCGCCTTGGCTCACAGCATGGTCCTGCCTCCTGCCACCTGCTTGCTTCCCTGAGATGAGTTCCTGGCTGCCCACTCCCTCCCCCTCTGGTGCCCTGGCCCCACCTGGTCTTTCTCCACACCCCCACCCCACCACACCACCACCCTTGGCTCCCTTGAGGGCCTGGGGGTAGGGGAGGTGCCAGGGTCAAGTACACATACCCCACAGTGTCAGGGTGGGACAGATGGTGGCCGTCCAGCCCCAAGCTGGCAGCAGTATGGCATGTTCCATGGGCCAACTTGGGGACCTAGCACATCCTGACTTGGAGGCTGGGATGTGGGCTGGGCCTGTGGACCTGTGGGAAGGGAAGATGCCTGCCTTTGCTTCCTGGGGAGTCTGTCTGGTGGCTCTCAGGAGGGAGAACCTGGTAGTCAGTAGGCCCCACAAGTGCCCTCCCCAGCTGCGTATGTCCACTCTTCTCCTATGAGTGTCCCCACGCTAGAGGAAATGAGACATTAAACAGGAAATTAAAAAAAAAAAACTACTGGCTAGGCACGGTGGCTCACACCTGTAATCCTAGCACTCTGGGAGGCCGAGGCGGGAGGATTGCTCAAGATCAGGAGTTCAAAACCAGCCTGAGCAAGAGCAAGACCCCATCTCTACTAAAAATAGAAATTAATTGGCCAACTAAAAATATATAGAAAAAATTAGCCGGGCACGGTGGTTCATGTCTGTAAGTCCCAGCTACTTAGGAGGCTGAGGTGGGAGGATCGCTTGAGCCCAGGAGTTTGAGGTTGCTGTGAGCTAGGCTAATGCCGCAGCACTCTAGCCCAGGCAACAGAGTGAGACTCTGTCTTAAAAAAAAAAAAAAAAAGGACCTTGACAGGTTGAGTGAGAGAGAGATCATGGAAGAAAAGGAAAAGATTTTCCCCTGCGTTTTGGAGAAGGGGCCCTGCAATTCATTTTGTACTGGGCCCTGCAGATGGCCTAGCCAGTCCTGCCCACTGCGCTGCAGCCAGTCAGCTCCCACTAGCTCAGTTCTGCATTCGGTGATGTCACGTTGGTAGCTTGAAATGGCCACGGCGAGAGTATTAACAGCACAGAAACTGGGCAAATGCTACAAAACAGAACTTTTTTTTTAGAGTTGGTTGTTAAACATTTACCAACACGCCCCTGCACAGAACACTCAAAGTTGGAAATTTCTTTCCCTTGTAATTTACTTGGTTAATAGGGCAGGCCCACACTTCTACGAGGACAGTATAGAGCTGCGGAAGGAAGGCTCAGGAAGAACACAGGTTACTAAGCACTGATCCAAACCATTTCAGGGATGACGGAACAAGCTCAGAGAGGAAATGCAACTCACCCAAGACCACACAGCAGGCTAGCTTCCAGCTGACATTTGGACCTAAAATCCTAGCTCTTCCCACAGCAAGAGGACAGGCTGTGTAGAGCCACGTGTCCCTGTTCCTGCACAGTGCCTAGCTTAGGGTTCTGAACTTCAGGAATAAGCTGGGGGCTTATTTTTAGGCAGGAGGGGAGCTGGGAAGAACCCAGAAGTCCCAACCCTGCACTCTTGTCCTCTCAGGTGTCTTCACACCTGAGGCAGAGCCTAGATGAATTGAAAGCAGGACTGAACTATCAAAGGCACAAATATTTACCAAGCACAGGGGCTTCCCAACAAGCTCACGGAGTTGGAGGCAGCAAGTACACAGGGCCTCTGTCTCTGAGGCCAGCTAATGCAAGGACGGCAGAAGCCCTTCAAGAGTCTCCCTGACTCCAGCCTCTTTGACACATTGAGCCCCTCACACCCTCAAGTATGTAAAGCCCAGTCACAAAGCACCTTCTCAGCTGTGGGTAGAGTGGGAGCTGATCCCCATTTTACAGATGAGGAAACTGAGGCCCACAGAGGGAAGATAACAAGCCCAAAGTCAGAGAGCTGGGAAACAGGAGAGTCTGAAGTAGAAGACAGAACTAGAAACCCTGTCCCCAAAACCAGTCTCCCTCCTGCATCTGTCCAGCACCCCTGCTCCAGAACCTTCCTTGATCCTGGCTGGCCTGGACGACGTGATGCTCCTTGATTGACCATTTTCTCTGGCCAGGCCTCCCATCCTCCAGCTACTTCACCTTCCTGCAGCTGCCTGGCTGCTCTCTTCTCAGGCAAGAAGAACCTCCCCTTTCTCCTCACCTCCCAGCTCCGGGAGCCGGTCTCCTGCCCCTGTAGCTCGGGCCTGGCTTCTCCTCCAGGAGGCCCTCCTGGCCACACCTGCTCACAGGCCTCATGCCCTCTCAGGAGTGCGTGAGGGACCAGGGGTCTGGGTCCCAGTCACAACTGTCATCAACTTGGGGAGTGACCTGGGCTCCCTCATCTGCACTCAGCCTGCCTGCCTGCCTCACCAGGGAATTGACAGTCCGCATGAGAAACCCTGGGGCGCACAGGGTCTTGCTGGCATCAGCATGGCTCCATCCAGACCCATGGCCGTCAGCCACGCTGTCTGGTTCTTGCTCTCCCACTGGGGTGGGAAGCGAGTGTCTGGGGGGAGAGCTCAGCTGGGGTGGGTGCTGCGAGCGCGGGGCCCCACGGCGACCACCTCTAGCGAGCGGACCTCTGGCGAGCCCTAAGCAGTTCTGCCCCTCCCCCTCCAGGGTGCGAACAGCTTCCCTAATCAAGAACAAACCCTGCCCCCCTCGGTGCCAGCAAAATTAGGAAGAGCCCCCGAAATGCGGGTTTTGTCCACCGAAGCAGACTTCTGGGGAGGTCCAAAGAGGGGCTCCCCACGGTGCCTCTGATGAAGCCGCTCCCGGTGCAGAAGAGAAACGGCCCAGGAAGATGCGGGACTTGCCCCGCCGCGGTGGGGACGCCAGAGGCTCGGATAGGAGGGCCCTTGTCCTGAAGCCGCGCGGGCAAAGCAGGCGCCGGGTTTTCCTGCTTGAACCTTATTTTGAACTGCTTTGGGGGCTCCGGCGGAGACGGTGGGCGCTCAGGCCTTTCAGAGCCGCCCTTGGCTCGGCCACCGCCCGGCACGCACGCGGGGACCGGGCCGGCGGCGCTCGCGGGGGACCGGGCCGGGCCGGGGGACGGCGGGCGGCGCCTGGGGCCGCGCCTGCAAGCCGGGCGCCGGGTTGCATCACGGTCCCCGAGCGCCCGCCGCCGCCCGAGGAGCCGAGGCTGGCGCGGCGCCTCCCCCGGGCCCGCCGGCGGGAAGGCTGGCGCGTCCCCCGAGCCCCTGGGACTTCGTTGGAACCGGTTCAGCCCGAGGGTGGGGGCTCTGCTCTGGGCGCGCGGGGGCCGCGCCTCAGTCTCCCCGCCAGGGAGCCCTGGAGGCCGTGCTGGGCTTCTGTGCGTCCGGCGAGGGGCGGCCCCTGAGATGGGCCGTGACTGGAGCCGGGCCTCCCGCTCTCCACGCTGCCCAGCGCGCGAGGCGCTGTCCTTGGACCGCCCGGCGCAGGGCCTGGCACCCTCCTCTCCCGGCCTGTCGCAGCGCACCGGCCCTCGGGGTTACACAAAGTCCCTGCCTGCCACCCTCACAGCGGTTTGTGCCACTGCTGGGAAAAGGTGTCGGTGGCACAACTAGAAGGGAGATTTCTGCCCAACACTGACGGCGCCTGTCTACCTCGGAGCCTGACCTGCCAGCCCGGAGGAGGAGACAGTGGGCACCTCAACCTGGCAGAGTAGGGGCCCGGCCGGGAGGGACGGAGCTGCCGCGTCCTGGGAATCATGATTTGGTGATTCTGCCCGGCCCTACGCTAACGCAGCCACCAGCCACACGTGACTGTTGAGCATTTGAAATAAGTGGGGACCCACCCGGAATTCCAGAGTGGCATAAAGATTATTTTAAGCCGAGGACATTTGAGATTCAACAGATGCAGACAAAAGCCGCCTAGGAGCTTCCTTTATCTGACTAAAGGCAGCAACTTCTGGGGAATGAGGCTGCCCTAAGTCCCCTTGCGTGGGAAGTTTCCTGGCCCAGAAGAAGCCTGAAAGGCCACTCACACCTGTACAGATAAATATGTTCACAAACTTTCTTATCTTCTGTCTATTCTCTTACAAGCTCATTTGGCTTTCCTAAAGAAACCCTTTTTCCTCATAGAAGCCCTTCCTTTCCTCCCTTTTTCCTATAAGTTAGGTATATAAACCTTTAACTACTTAACAGGCTGGCTACCCCCCTTGCTGGTGTGGTATGCATGCATAATAAACTTTGTCTCCTGGTAATGGGTCTTTTGTCAGAAGGCTCCAATCACAGAGCAAAAGAGCATAGAGGAGAGGTTTTTTCCTCCCTACAAAGGCTAGCATGCACTGATAGATGCATAAGTGTAAAATACACAGGATTTCAAAGACTTAGCATGAAACAAAAGAATGTAAAAGACATCAGTAACTTTGTCTATTGATTACATGTTGAAATGGTAATATTATATTTTGGGTAAATTGGGTTAAATATATTAAAATTAATTTCACCTGTTTCTTTACTTTCTTAGCATCTACTGGAAAATTTCAAATAACATGTGGCTCATATTATATTTCTTTTGGATAGAACTGCCAAATGTCAGGTGACCTTGTATCTTTGGGTTGGCTTTTCCTAAGCAACATCAGCGGGTCTCTATTAGTGAATGCTCTGTGTCAGTCCTCGCAGCTTGGGCAGTGGGGGTGGAGAGGAGAAGGCACAGTGCCAGCCCTCAGGGAGCTGCCAAGCCCCTCTAGGCTTCCAGCTCAGCCTGGCCAGATTCTCCTGCAGTCCTGCCTCCCCTCCTCCACAGGACAGTCAGGCCAGCAGAAGCTGTGCAGAGGGCTCTGGGCCCTGCTAGGGCTCTGAGAACTCAGGGAGGGAGCTCCAAGTGGGCCAAGGATTCAGAAGACATTGTGGCCAGGGACCGTGGCTGGCCTTTGAGTGCTGTTCCCGTGGCTAGGACACAGATGCGCCTTTCAGCTGCCCAGCCCCAGCCCTCGCTGCCCAGCACCTCCTGGCTGTCTCTCAGTGGCAGCAGAGCCCTTTGCCAGCTCTGCCCAGCACCATCTGGCTATGGTGGGACAGGCTCCCCAGCTTGCCCATCCTCTCTGCCCCCTCCCATTCCCCAGGCCCTGCTTGATTAAAAGATTTTCTTGATACTCATTCAGGGATACAGGCTGAGGTCTGAGAAAGAAAGCTAGCCCAGGTTCCAGAAAAACGCGACAAAACAGCAAACTTCTGCAGCTGGTATTTCTGAGGAACAGCCCACACCTGGCCATTTAGAGGGATGGTCCTGGCTGGTATGGCCCAGGCTTAACCCCTGCAGCTGATATGAATGTGACAGCTTTATAACCCTGTAAAGCTAACCAGACCTGTGCATAAACAACCTTATCTAACATTCCTGTTTCTATTCCTATATAAACTTGCTCATAACAACAGCTGACATGCATATCACGCTTATTGTGCGGCAGGCACTAGGATTTTACATCTGTTAATTCATTTAATTTAGATTAAATTGGATTTCAGGCACAAAAACCCTATGAGGTAAGTATGTTTATCACCTGCTGTTCACAGGTGAGGAAGGTGATGCACAGAGAGGTCAGGTAAACTTGTTGACGATCACACAGCAAGAAATAGGCAAAACCGGGACTAAAGCTCAGGCAGCCTGGCTCAGCTTTTGTGCTTCACATCATAACATTGCGTAGTCTTCCGCGGAATACTGGAGGAATCAATTGTGTTTTGTTTTCCTTAATTAGTTCCCTTGCTGAACAGCTTATGATAACCTATGGCTCCTGTTCACAATCCAAAATGTGTCTGAGATTAGCTGTTGTAACAGACTAAAAATGATGAGATGGGAAAGTAACCAAACTCATAGGAAAGAAGAAAAAAAATCCCGGAAGAATAAATCTTGCTACCATCCTTTGTCCATTTGTCTGTGTGGGTGGGCAGGGGAACACAATCTAAGACTGGATGCAGTTTATTGAAAGATAAGCCACAGCTGAAGCTTGCAGCCTGGCTTGGTAGGTGCCCCTCATTCAGTAAGCTGCCCGAGAGGCTCTGAAATGGAGGCGTGTTAATACCTGGTCTGCAGAGGCAGGAGTTGAGGCCTGAATTGCCACGAATGAGAGCAAAAGAACCAGCATTTTAGACAGGGGAGGAGACAGGTGTCAGGAGAGAGTGAGAAACCCAAGAAGATGTCAGCAAGCCGTGACCTGAGTGGCATGTAGCAGGACAGGAAACAGTTTATGGGTTTATTTATTTATTTATTTATTTATTTATTTATTTGAGACAGAGTCTCACTTGTTGCCCAGGCTAGAGTGAGTGGCGTGGCGTCAGCCTAGCTCACAGCAACCTCACACTCCTGGGCTCAAGCGATCCTCCTGCCTCAGCCTCCCGAGTAGCTGGGACTACAGGCATGCGCCACCATGCCCGGCTCATTTTTTCTATATATATTAGTTGGCCAATTAATTTCTTTCTATTTAGTAGAGACGAGGTCTCGCTCTTGCTCAGGCTGGTTTCGAACTCCTGACCTTGAGCAATCCGCCCGTCTCGGCCTCCCAGAGAGCTAGGATTACAGGCGTGAGCCACCACGCCTGGCCAGCTTATGGGTTTTCAAACAAAAATGGCTACCATTCCGTTGTCCCCATTGCGGGTGCTGAGCTGGGATGTCGTTCTTCTCCATCCTCCCAACCTTCCATTAAAGCCTAACATCAGCGCTGTTTTGTGCCAGTCAGTGCCGAGGGGCTAAGGGGCCAGGGGGAGGTGGGTGATGCTGCTTAGGGAGGAGGGGGCCTGGAGGCCATGGGCACCGGGTAAGTTGCTGGGTCGGGAGTCTGCCTGGAGAGACATCGGCCTCTCTGGCATCCTCAGAGCTACTGGGGGCACTGGGTTCCTGCGGTAGCCCAGTGGGCGATGCACAGGCATGCCCAGCCAAAGTAGCATCTAGCCCCTGACACCAGCGGGTGCTGTCCTCCCAAGCCCGGTGTCCAGCACAGGGCTCTGTCTGCAGAGAGTGGAGTCTTTTCTCCTCCATGTGGGCTGGCAGGGCCCTGTGTGGACACTCTCTTGAAAGCTGAAGACCTTGGGCTCCACGCACAGCCTTGGGCTGCTGCTGACCCTCCTGAGTAAGAGGAAATCCCACTGGGTCTCTCCAGGCCTCATCCTGTCTCCTGATTCAGCCTCCCACCTCTTTCCGGGCCACCCTCAGCCAGCCTCCTCTGGGGAGTGTGCCTTTGCAGGTGGGCCCTCATAGGGACGAATGATGAGGGAGCAGACTCAAAGTTTAGTTCGTTTATTTACGCATTCTTTCCTATTTATTGGCTCGCACACCAGACACATAAGTTTTCTAATTCAGTCTCATAACATACCTTAAGGTATTTTTATTCTCGAATTACAGATGAGGAAACTGAGGGGTCAGAGTGGCTGAGACTCAACTGTCTGGATTGTACTGGTCTTCCCGGTTGGTGGGGGTGGGCTGGTGGCAGCCTGGGCCCAGGACCTGGAAGTGGAAGAGGGGATGAAGGGAGGTGGGTTCCCAGCAGGGATCACCCTGCAGGGGAGGTCCCCAGGCAGAAAGTGTTAAAACTACCTTGGTGGGGGGTGACCTCCTCCTCTGGGCTGAGGAAGGAAGGGATCTGGCTAGGTGAACTTGGCATTCAGCCACCTAGGGACTGTCCAGGACAGTTGTCTGAAGGATAAAAGAGCTGGGCCAGCCCTGTCCCTGGCAGGTGGGAGAGGGTGAGCAGGCGAGCACTGTGCTAGTTGCTTTTCCTTTAAGAGCTCCTTCCCTCCATACCCAATAAGAAAGGCATGATAGTCCCATTTTATTATGTTTTTCTTTCTTTTTTTTTTGTTTTTGCAGACAGGGTCTCCCTCTGTTGCCCACGCTAGAGTGCAGTACATCACATCATAGCTCACTGCACCATAGCCACTGCAACCTCAAACTCCTGGGCCCAAGGGATCCTTGAGCCTCCCGAGCAGCCAGGACTACAGGTGCATGCCACCACGCCCAGCTAACAGCCCCATTTTAGAGGCGCAAAACCTGGGACCAGCCATGTCCAGTGACTTGCCTGAGGTCACAAAGTTAGGCTGGGGTACAGCTAGGATGCAAACTTGCCTTTGTTAGTCTGGTAGAGGAACTGGGTGTAAACAGAAACCCCAAAGCTGTGGGTGCCTGGGACAGGGCTAGGGGATGCAGTGGTCGGGGAGCAATGGGTGACTGAATGCCCCACTCTGATACCCCCATCCCAGCATCTGCTTATTCTGGGCCTGGAAAGAGAGGCTAGGGGGCCTTTCTATGGCCCTCTTGCCTTGGGCAACTGGCAGGTCCTGGGGACAGCCACAGAGGTTATGCACCCAGTACAGCAGGCCTGGCAGAGTGCTTGGAGGGTGGGGGGAGGGGAGAGAAAAATAGGGAAGTGGGGGCAGGAAGGAGGGAGAGAAGGAAAGAAGGAAGAGAGGGAGAGTGAATGAAAAGCCATGCTTGTATGTTTGTGCCTGGCTGGGTCTGTGTATGTGTGCAGGCGCACATGTATGCACGCATGCACTGTGCACATCTTTTTTCTCCTTGGTCCTTTAAGCTTCTATGAGTCCTACCCTGTCCTACCAGGTCAGGACATGGCGTTGGGAGCCCCCCGCTTGCTTGACTCCTGGAACTGCTGCTTCCTGGCTGTGCCATCCTGAGCAAGGTACTCCAGCTCGGTTGTCCTGTCTAAAATACGCCTGATAACCATAGCTCAGGAGATTGTTGTCCACTAAAGTCATTATGAACTGTAAGGCACCAGACTGATGTTATCCTCATAAGAAGGGCCAATGGCCTCAGGCACTGTGAGCCGAGGTGCAGGCTGCAGGCTTGGGGGTGGCTAGAGGGGCAGTGAATGCCCCTGGCAGACCTATACTGGGGGAAGGGTATTATCTTGGTTGTCCCAGGCCACGCAGTGCCCAGCAAGCATGTGTGCCCTGCACCACGGCCCTGAGGCTCACCTCCTCCAGGAAGCACTGAACATTGCTGTACCTGGGCTGTGCTGGTTCTTCATGTCCAGAATCTCACTCAGTTGGCCTGATTATCCCATGAGGTGAGTGACAGTTACCCTAATTTTTATACCTGTGTAAACTGAACTTCAGAGAGAGAAGTGATGTGCCTGTGGCAGCACAGCTAAGAAGTGGCAGAGATAGGGTTTGCACTCAGGAGAGCTGGGCACCAATCTCAGCTCCCAGCCCTCCAGCAGAGAGGATGGGTCCCCTCAGCTGTACCCCAGCCCGCCCCAGCCTCAAGAGTACATGCTCAGGTGCAGGGAGGGCCCTCCTGCCCTGCAGGGCCTGTCTCAACTTGTCCTGGGGTGGGGAGCCCAGCTCCCTGGTGGAAGCACATCAGGTCACAGTGACAGTCCTGGCTCCCAGGGACTGGCTTCCAGCCACAGCTTTTGTGGGGAGGCACTCTATACCCTGAACCTGGAGGGCAGGGCCAGCCAGTCAAGGAGCCCCTCAAAGTCCATCAGGGTGCTGGGGACCAGAGGGGTGGCAGGAGTAGGTGAGAGGTGGCAGGCCCTGCCTGAGAAATAAAGAGATCTGTTCTTGGGTACAGATGGAGGCCGTGGGTGACAGGCCCCGGGAGCCTGGGCAAGCCTCTCATGTCCAAACCGAGGTCCACCTGTCCGCTGCCTCCCTCGGCCCACAGCCCAGCTGAGCAGCGGGCACTCCCTCCTCAGCCGCCCCAAACTGCCTTCCCAGCCCTTTGTCTTCACGGGCTGCGTGCTGCACCTCTGGATACAAACAGAGACCAGGGTCACAGGTGAGGTCAGGATGACCTCAGGCTGACACTTCTGCCCTTCACCTGGCTGTGGTTGGCATCTCAGCACACAGTGCTGAGGGTGTGGGTCGCAGGAAGCCCTGTGGACTTCTGGAGAGTTCCACTCAGAAGATAACGTAGGTAAGGAGGACCATACGGGGGACAGTGGGTGCCCCTTGATTGCCCACTGGAGACAAGAATCCCGGCGAGTTTCTGAGTCCCTTCTCCTGATGGAACAAGCCCGCCTTGAGGCCTTTTGTCCACAGGGTTGTCCTGGCATGTTTCCTGGTTGTCACCTCAGAATTGCAATAGGATGGGCCAGAACTGGGGAGCTAGGATTAGAATGTGCTGGGATTGGGATGGAGATGGCTGGGCTGGGCACAGCTGGGGGTGGGGACAAGAGGCTTGAAAGCTGAAGAGTTTTATTGGAAGGAACTGTCTGCCCTCCCGGCTCCAGCACTGAGCCTTTGGAGGAAGGGCAGACTGGGGAGGGATTTTTGGCTTTCTGGCCTCCCCACTCTGACTTGCAGAACCGCTTTCCAGAGAGGGGCAAGCAGACTTCAACCCGCCCCTTTTCAGAGTCCTGCCTGCCTCCCAGGAGCTGGCCTGAGGACTGAGAGGAACACAGGCTCACTGAGTGCTCACTGTCTGCCAGGCCAGATCCAGGCACAGTAGAACTTTGACCTCTCCGCAAACCTGGGGGCACAATCATCATCCCACAGTCAAGGACCCTGGCGCTCAGAGGGGCTAAGAGGCTTGCTTGAGGTGCCACAGCCAGGAATGGCAAGTTGGAATTTGGGCCTGAGTTAGGTGGCCGGTTCCCCTTTTCTCCAGAGCATCCCTAAGACGCAATGCTAGTGCAAGGAAGGAGATGGTCATGGGCAGTTCGCAGCCAGGACAGTGAGGCCGCAGTCTCCCAGCAGTGGGACTTTTCCAGATGGAGCTAGAGACCCATTTGGAAGTCAAGCTCTGCCCTGGCCAAGGCTTCTCCCCAGCTGCAGGGAGTATTTACCTGTCTCCTGCTGCCCAGGCTCTAATCACGTGACTGGCCACAGCTCAAGGCCAGCCCCATGTGGCCTCTCAGTCTATAGGCCTGCTGGTCCCCAGCACCTCCTACCCCAGGCCTTAATGTGCGGATCACACTCATTCCCCAGGCACTGGCAGTGCCCCGTGGGCTCCCCACCGCCAGTGAGGCCTCTCTCCTTGGCTGGCGCTGCCCTGTGTCTGCAGGAGGGGACAAGAAGAGGCTTCCCTCAGATGCTCACCTCCTGCCCTGTGGCTGGATGCCACCGCTGCTGGCTTCCTACGCCAGGCACGACTGGTCACCACACACCCAGCCTTTGTTATCCTCTACGGAACCTCTGTTGCTTCTGTGTCAAGGAAGCTGGGGAAGCTGAGCGCCCCTGTGCTGTGCTGCCCACTTCCCCCTAGGCAGCACCTCACTTCTCCTTTTGCCCTTGCAGGAGGCCTCAGCCTCAGCCCTGGCAGCCTTTACAGCCAGGGCCCGTAACCCGGTCACCCTCAGGCTGGGCACAGTGTCTCACGCCTATAATCCCAGCACTCTGGGAGGCCTAGGCGGGAGGATCGCTCGAGCCCAGGAGTTTGAGGTTGCTGTGAGCTAGGCTGACGCCACGGCACTCTAGCCCAGGTGACAGAGCAAGACTCTGTCTCAAAAAAAAAAAAAAAAAAACAACAAAAAATCCGGCCACTTTCAGCCTGACCATGGGCTGGGTTGGGGTCACTCTACTCACTTTAAGGGCTGAGGGACTTCGAGGCAAAAGACTGATGCCGGGGACTGAGGGGCGCCAGGGGGTGAAGTTGGAGACAGTTGGGCAGAAAGGGATGACGCCAGGCCAGGAGGCCCCTGATGAGGCCGAGCTCCTTTTTAAACCCAGCTTTTAAGCCCAGCTGTGCCCTAGCGCAGTGGGGACTTCAGAGAGCACCCACCTTCCCCTTGCCTCCTCGCCCCAGCCATGCATGGTCCCCAACCTGTCACCAGCCAGGCCTCACAGAGCAGGCAGAGATGGCTGCGGAGGGTGTGTGGGTGCTATGCATGTCTTGTCCTGGGTGAGGGTCCTGTCCCTCCCAGCCCCGCATGCGACTCCTTGATAGAAGCTCCTTCCTGCCCAGGCACCTGTGGGGGCAGGGAGGCTGACTGGGGCCTTCCAGCCTGGACTTGCCCCAGCTCTGGGCCCTGAGGTCACAGAGACCTCCCGAAACCCCAGGGAGCTGTTCACAGGCAATCCGGCCTGATGAGGTGCTAATTGCTGTGCTAATTGCAGCTTGTGCTTGGCGACTGGAGGTAGGGGTGCGGGAGGAGAGGGGCCGCTGCAGAGGGCAGGGAAGGAGGCTAAGGCTGAGGGCTGTCATGGAGCCGGCTGTGTTTGCTCAGGAATTGTTGATTTATTAGCGATGTGCAGCTGCTTTGAAATGTGTCCTGCTGGCCTCCATCCCTCTGTCCTGTCCCAGCCCTGGCTTTCTCTCTGAGGAAAGATTTGTATTCTGGGCCACTGCTTATTGGGAAGGGTTCATAGACCACTTGGGGGCATAGTGCTCTGCTCCGGGAGTGACTGAGGAGCAGGGAGGCCCACAGCCTGTCCTGGGGACTCCAGGCCTGCCGCAGCCCAGACAGACATGGCACCGAGCAGCGTTGGAGACAGCCTTGAGAACAGAGGTGACATCATTGAGCTGGGTCATTTTGGAGGGGCCTGGGGCTCACCTCATGCCAGCCCTGCCTGTTTCTGGGCCTTGGCCTGGGCCCTGCCCCTCTAACAATAATTGCTGTGTGGCCTTTGGAAGGGGCCAGAGAGCCCAGGGACATGGACGTGTGCTCGGTGCCTATAGAGGCCTCACAAATAGGAGATGAGATGACCTGCTCCCCAGACAGGGGCAGGGGAGTTTGCGAGCCCACCCTGCTGCAGCCAGAAGGGATAGGTCCTCGCACCCTCCCCCACTCCCCTTCAGAGCCCACCCTTCTGGCACAAGCAATTCCCAGCACCTGGACCGGGGGAGACTTTGGTCACGTAGGGCTAGACCCCGACTCACAGCAGGGCATTGTGTGGCTGTCACTCACACTGGCCACAGCCCACTGCCTGGGTGTCTCAGTGCAGCCAGCTCTAGCCTGACAGGCTCCCCGTGGCTCCTGACCAGCCCTGCACTCCGGCCTCCAGGCCCGTGTTTCATTGCCCACCCCCCGGCTCCTTTGTGCCCAGTCATGTCCTCTCCACTAGGGCTCGGTTCTGCCTGAACTCTCCCTGCGTCCCCTGCCTCGCCACGCCCCACCCGGGGCTGCCCCGGACTGTTGCTGCGCTGGAGAGAAAGCAGGGAGGCCAGCCCGGCCCCATCCGAAGGCTCCTGCTCCTCCCCCCAGGATGCTCTGAGAACTCAGTGAGATTACAGACAGGAAAGGACTTTGGCAGTAGTAGTGGTTTAATAACTGTGATAATTCCTTCAATTTTATGAGTGCCCATTCTGGTGCATGTCTCCTCACAGCAACCCTCCAGGCTGGACATTTTATTATCTCCACGTCTCAATGAGGAAACCAGGCTCAGAGAGGCCAAGCAACTCATCCAAAGTCACACAGCTCCTAAGTAACAGTCTGGGGACCCCAAAGTCACTACTCCTCACAATAGGAAGGGGTTGTTATTATTTTTTGCCAGCCTGTTTCCTTCCTCCTTGCCCTCCCTCCCTGCCTGTTATCATCTGCCCAGTGAGTTTGCATCATTACTAGGGCCCAGGGGTCCAATTAGGGGGCTCCCCCAGGGAAGCTGACTGAGGCAATCCCTGCCCCAAGGGGGCCTCCCTGAGCTGAAGTTTTAATTAGCTGTCACTGCTCTTCCTGAGATTCTGATCTGTCTGTGGCTCCACCAGCCCAGGCTGGCCTTGAGGCAGGAGGCAGGACTGACTTCCAAGCCTGCAGCTCAGTGGAGCTGCCCATCAGGGAGGGAGGGTCTGGCTGGGCCTCTGTCCTGCCTCAGCATTACCTCATTTAATCCAGTAAATGGATTAATAAAATTAATGGATCATGTGACTTAATCCATTAAATGGACTAAATAAACGAGTTAATATTTGTAAAGCATTTAAAACAGCACCTGGTACAAGGTAAAGGCTATGTGAGTGTTTGCTAAATTAAAACAAGCCATCGGGGACTGGGGAGCAAGAGACTGGGGTAGAGGGCAGGGCTATGCTTGGACATGAGGTGACACATACCTGGGTCACCTGGCAATGGTGGGTGGCCCATGTGTGGGCTGCGGGCATCTGTAATGCTTGTAATCCTGCCCCCGGCGATATGGGATGCTTGGGGCTGCGCGTGCAGCTGGCTTGGAGGGCACGCACAAGTACTGAGGGGCCACTGCCAGTGCCACACTGTGCTGCCACACATTGCGCGCTGCTCACGAGACGGGGCCAGCACCCCACGTGAGAGCCGAGGCATGGATGTGTCCAAGATTACACAGCCATGCAGAGGCAGAGTAGGATTTAGATCCCAAGTCTGGGCTCTGTACACTGGGAAATCTAGTTCCCTGTGTCACCCACCACGGGCCATACCTGCAGACCCCAAAGGGGGAAAAGTGCCCCTCTCTGCTCCCACTCAGCCTCCCCTCAAGCTCCAGGAAACCTGAGGGGTCTGAGCGTGGCTGTTTGTGTTGAGGACTCAAGACCCCTTCCCTGGGGTGGGGCTGTGGGTCTAGGCTGAGATGGTGTCAGTTTCTGAAGCATCACCCCACCCCTCCTGGGAGCAAGAGGCCTCCTGGCCATGACCCCAGCCCCACCCCACTGGGCTGCTTGCCTCCATCTCAGCCCTCAGCCCCCAGCCACAGCCGCTGTGCCAGCCCTGAGCCGAAGCCAAGCCCTCCTTGGACGCGGTTGCCTGGTAACCAGTCCTAGGTGACAGAAACCCCAGCGGGCCGCTAATGAGGGGGCAGCAGCCAACCACCTGGCTAGACCCTGCGGCCCTAGCCAGCCTTAGGAAGGCTTTGATGACAGTCCACCTGGCCTGCCCCCACGGTAGGAGGGAAGGGTGTCCTAGGACTGAGGGAGGGGGCATGGTGGGGCAAGGAGGAGCTGGGTTGGCAGCCCCCCAAAACCTTTGAACTGGGGAGCTGGGGGAAGGTGATTCCCGGTGGAGGCCAAGGCCCAGCCAAAGCCAGGAGCAGGCGCTGGGCTGGAGTCAGGGCTGTGGGTGCTGCTGCCCAGGCCCACACTGCCTCCCGGAAACAGCTGTGAAGGCTCTGCCCAGGGCGCTGAGGCCAGCGGAGGGGCTCCCCAGACAGAGGTTCTGGCAGGGAAAGGAAAGGAGTGGGTCAGGATCGGGGAGGCTGGCAGGAGGCCAGGCTCCTGAACCACTGAGGCGCTTCCATCAGCCTCTCCTCTCCGCAAGGGCCCCTCCTCGCACCCCGCCCGAGGCTTGGGGCCTCCAAGGAGGGGTCTACAGGCAGCACGAGGCAGGCAGGTGGAGCTCAGCCAGGTGTTTTTCCATCCCAGGTCTGAGGGGGAAAGGAAGGGAGGGAGACGCAGTGTCCGAACAAGAGGGAAGCCTGGCGTGCAGACTGGACAGGCCTGAAGGAGCCCTGGCCTCTAGACCCCTGCCTGCGCTCCTGGGCATGCTGCGGGCCCCTCCAGGCCTCAGTTGTCCCACATTGAAACAGGGGCTGGACACAGGCCTTGCTGGGCGGAAGCTTGGCGCCATGGCTCCTGAGAGGCTGAGAGGGGAGGGCAGGGGTTTTAGAAGAGTTTGGGGCAGCAGAGGCTCCTTCAGGCTTTCATCTCTGGGCCTCGGTAGCTTTGTCTGCTTTTCTCCCCTCTCGTGCAGAGTCCTCCTTCACTGTTAAACCTTCCTTCCAGAACACAGCCTGAGTCAACCCTGTGCCGAGTGCAGGAGTCCCAGCCCAACGGCAGCGGGGGCCCTGCCCTGCAGGAAGCACCTCTCCAGTCGAGGAGGGAAGCCAGGCTTGCCACTGTGCAATTTTAGCACATGGAGCTGAGGCTCGGATGGAGACAAGTTCAGAGTGCTATGGGGCCTCAGAAGAGATGACTAAACCCAGCCTGGAGTTCAGGGAAGCCTTCCTGGAGGAAGGGGCCTGAGATAAGCCTTAAAGGTCAACAGGAGTTAGTAAAGAAAGCCAGGTAAGCGGCCAAGGTGGAGGGAGAGCATATTCCAAAGTGAGAAGGTATGTCCCCCAAGGAACTGTGACTGGCTAGGGAGGGACATGATCTGTTTAAAGTCTGTCTCTCTCACTGCACTGGGAGATAGTGCCTGGGGCCCGGCCAACACTGCACCTTCCATGCCAGCATCCAGCCTGGGAGCCTCAGGATGGTGGAAGGAAGGATGGGAAGGAAAGAAGGAAGATCAGTCCACCCTGGCTGGCAGAGAGTGACCCCTCCCCTGCAGGGGGTCCCTAAATTTTTGTGAATGGGCTTTTTTTCCTAGCCAACAGGCCAGCAGATGCGGTCCTCCAGAGGTGCCCATGAAACCCACACCCCTTTCTCAGTCTTCAGGATTTCCCTCTGAGCAACTCTGATTTCCTCTGGAGCAGGGATGGGGCTCCTTTGGAGCTTGGCAGGCTCCCCATTGCCCACTCACCCTGGCAGGGCAGCAGGCTACTGCCACCCGGCTCCCTGCAGAGGGAAGCTCTGGTGTGGCAGCACACTTTTGGAAAGTGGCTCACCTCACCCCAGTCGGATCCCATGACCCTTCCCCCACACCCAGGTCCTATCCAGCCCAGACTCCCTAAGACGGACCGAGCTCAGGCTAATGGCCGCCAACACAGCCCAACTTCAGGCTCAGCTTGCTTAGGTGCCAGAGGGTTCCTGACCACCAATTAATTGTGTCTGAGCCTTCCCTCAGAAGGGCTGGGGGTCACATCGTCCTGGGGGGAAAATCCCAGCATCTCCATTTCTTAGCTATGGGGACAAGTGGCCTCACCCCTCCTCCTCTACAGCTACCACTGGTTGAGGGCTGACTATATAAACTAAGCTGTGACATCGCCAGGGCCCTGTAACATGTAAGCACGCCCATGTGATGAGCAAACTGAGAGGTGAAGGGGCTTGCCTAAGTCATGCAGTTCAGTAGGCCAAACCCCAGTTTGCTTGTTTTTCAAACTCCTACTTCATACGAGTGTAAGAAGTAAATGAGACAACATCTATTAAATGGCTGGCATAGGGCCAGGCTCCAAGTAGGAGGTCCTTGTTCTGCCCAGCCACTGAGATGTTACTCTTCTGGTCAGGGACAGGGAAGGACGAGGAAGTAGAGAGGGCAGAGAGGGCAGCAGTAGCAGTCTGGGGAGCCTCCCTGGAGGAAGCAATGTCTAGTTAGGTCTGAAAGGATGGAGAGGAGCATTGCTGTGTGTCTTAGGGAAAGGTACCACACAGCTCTGTTTCTCTGCCTGTAGAGGAGCTGCCAGTTCTACCTCTCCCTCCTCTAGGGTGAAGGAGCTCCTCTGAGGAAGGAAGGAGATTTGTAAATAGCAGGTGTGGCCTCATTAGAGGGAGCTACATTGTTATTAATAACCAGAACATAACGAGCTGAGGTTCAGAGAGCTGACCTCTTACCTCACTGTCCCAGAGAGCCAGGATAAGTAATCAGTGTCTCCGGTGGGGTGGAGGAGTGTGTGTGCACGCCCCATGTGGAGCCTGTGCGGACCCTGCTGGGTGGGGGTGGGGAGAAACCTCCTCTCCTACACTACTTATTTCTTTGTTAACTCCACCCACGAGGCCCATGTAGGACAGATTGTTCCCTTCTCTGCTTTTATGCACGCTCTTCCTTCCAATTGATATACACTTCTCTCAAGACCACAGCACTAATAAAAACATGCAGGGGCTTCCAAGACAGTCCCCTTGTGTGGACATGACCCTTCCAGCAGAGGAAAAAGGCAAGGTCAGAGCCTCGAGGAGCTCACTGTCCACGGACACTCTACAGAGCTCTCTACAGCTCACAAGCAATTTCCCACACTGATGTTGCTCAACACTTACACTGTCATTAAGTCCAGTCTCTCACAGCTACTAGCTGTCAGCACGCCAATGCACTTTCCTGATGCTCAGGTGTGGCTGCGGGAAGATCCCCAGACTGAGAACCAGAAGTGAGTTTCTGCCCTAGCTTGCTGTGTGACCCGGGGAAAGCCCCAACCCTTTCTGGGTCTCTCCTCCCCAAATATTTGCAGACTTTAAGGTTCTTCCAGCTTTAATTGGAGTGACACTCTCCCCCCTCTCCCCAGGTGACCTCACTTCCTTTTCCTTTTCCTACCTGCAGTGTCCAGCCCCTCCTCTTCAGCTCCAGCTGCTTTGTGACTCTTGGAACCTGCAGCCTCAGGTCTGTTCTGCTCTGACTCAGGCAGCCCTGACCTTTGAGATCTGAGGAGGTAGCCTGGTGGTTTTGCCCCATGAACTTACTCTGACCTTTGGCATGTCCACCTGTCCTTCCCTCCCCCACTGCACACACCTGTCCCCAGCCCTCAGGCAGCCCAGGAACTTCAAGCAACTAGATTCCTTCCGTTGAACTAGTAGCACTGAGGCCTCACCCACTATCAGGTGTCCAGAGAAGCAGGGCAAACGGGTAGCCCTTCCGCCCCAGCCCTCGTCCCGGCATCCCGGGGGACTGCTCCGCCCCCACGGCCCCCAGGCTGCACGGCTCCCACCCGTCTTACTGCGGGAGACTGGCCGCAAAGGTTCAGGGATACCCAGCGAGGCCACTTCGCGACGACCCCCAGCACTCTCACTTCTGGCCTGCTCCGGGGAGGGGACACCGCTCCTTCCTCAGACAGCTGCCAGGCCCTAACGGGAGCTGGGACAGGTTTGTCTGGAATTTGCCCTGGCTGACTGCACCGAAATGAGGGGGAATAACGAGCCCTTCTACAGCCTCCTGATACAGCCAGTGCAGGACACGGAGCCAAGCCACTACTGGGCCATATAATTCAGTAAACCTCTCGTATGCCTTACAACACCAGCACCGAGGGGAAGACAGAATTCCAGCGTTGCACAGAAGGAAACTGTAGTTCAGGGAGTCAAGTGGCAGGCGCAAGGTCACATAACTAGAAAGTGGCAGTGAACGACTGATCTAATGCAGCGACTGCACAGGTTCGCGGAGCGCGGCGGGTGCGCAGCACCGCGGTGCGGGGAGAGCTGGCCACGCGGGTCCTCCGCCCTGCGGGCCCCGGGAGGGCAGGTCCCAGAGGCGCGGCCGGGCTCTGCCCCCACCCCGCGGCCCGCCCCGCCCCGCCCCCAGCCCGCCCCGCCCGGGACCGCAGACTGCGCCCGGCGGCGGCGCGAACAGCAGCGAGCAGGGTGTCTCGGGGCTCGGCGCTCACCGCGACTTCCCGCGCAGGCCCGGCTAGAAAGGACCGGCGGCCTGGCCGAGCTGGAGGATGCGGTCGCCGCTGCGGCCCCGGGGAGCGGCGGCGGGAAGCCCGGCGTCCTGCAGGTAGGAGCTCGCCCGCTGGGCGGGCGCGGAAACTTGGGCCGAGTTTGCGGGCGGCGCGTGGGGAAGGGGCGGGTGGCGCTGCCCCAGGGCGCCCCTGCCGGCTGGCCCGAGGATGGAGCGCGCCGGGCCTGGCCGAGGTGCCGTGCCGTAGCCGGCCCTGGCGGGCGGGCTGCAGGGCGGGGGTCGCGCCGTGGCACTGACTGGCCTCAGACTTCGAAGCTCCCGGGCGCTGGTGGCGCGCTGGGGCTCGGGCCAGGCCCGGGCGCCCAATCTGGCGATAGGAGCGCGGGCCGAGCCCTGGGGCCTCCCGCGGGGCCCGGCTCACGTGGATTGCCGGGGCAGGGACGGGGGACTGGGGGCGGCGGGCGCTGAGGCGCCGCGGGCCCTGGACGCGCCCTGCTGGGACGGGACGGCCCTGCGGTCTCCTCGCCACCGCTTGACTCACCCTCTGGCCTCAGCCCAGGCTGGCGGGATCGCCCGAGGCGGTGGCTGCCCGGACTCTGCAGCCAGGCCGGCCCCTGCTCTGGGACCTCCCGCCGCCTGCGGGCGTCCGTCCGCGGGCGGGTGGGTGCGCGGGGCCGCCTGCGCGCACACATGTGCGGGGCCGGGCGAGGGGAGTCGCAGTTCTGGAGTGGCGTGCGTGCAGATGTGGGCCATGCATGTACGTGCAGGCATGGGTTTGTATGCGTGGCGGCGGCCTGTGTGTCAGCCTGCTGGGGTGCACGTGCGCCCCAGAGCCGCCGGGAGGGGTTCGGGGACACCCGGAAGCCCGCAGGGTCCAGTGCACGGCAGCCCCAAAGCGAGGCGGGTCGTGAGCTCCAGGCACCAGTTGCGCACGGGGAGCGGGGCGGGGAAGGCGGCGGAGGCTGCTCCTGGGACCCTTCCCCCTCCAGCGGAGACTGGGCTGCCCCAGGCTGGGCTGTGGCTCTGGAGGGCCCGGAGCCTCCGCTGGGGGGTAGGGAGGCGTGAGGACACCGACGCCTCGGGTCCAGCCCTCCTGGAGAGGCCAGATGCTGGCTGCCGCTGGGCAGGAACCACGCTCTTCTTCCTGGTGTCTCCCGGCGTCCGCCGAGGCCCCAAGGAGGTGGAAGTGGGAACTGGGCCACGGAGCTGTTTGTTTTCGCCGCTGTGTGGGGCAGGCGTGGTGGGCTCTGAACCCTGCCCTGGGTCCTGGCTGGGAGGACCAGCAGAACCGCCCCCAGGGGTGAAGTGGGCCTGCTCCCGGGGCTCCGCCCTCTCCAGGTGCTTACTGGCCCTCCGTGTGGGGGTCAGGGAGGCAGGCGCCTGCATTTTGGCTAGTCTGTAATAGGGGCGGGGCCTCACTTGAGGGAGTGTATACTGGGCTCTCCATCTCCTCGCGACAGGAGATAAGGTCAACCCCTCCCGCCCCTCAGCGTTCCCTGCTGGCTTCCTGGAGTCCCTCCCCTCCCCCAAAGACTCCTCAGGGTCCCAGGTGGCTTTGTATCTATAGGCTGGGTCCCAGGAGCGGTCTCTAGAAGTCTCCAGGGCAAAGGGCACTCGTTGGGCTGAGCTCAGGAGAGAAGGACTCCTGGGGCAGGGGGTGGGTATGGAGCAGGCCCCAAGGAGCATGTGGGGGAGGTGAGACGAGCCAGCACTTAATTAACCCAGAGCCTCCCTGGGCAGAGCTCAGCACCCCCAAAACTGTTTGACTCCTTACAACGTTGCTGGGGAGTGACGTGGGGCCTTTCCCCTGCATGCCGGTCTCTGTCATAGGACACTGCTGTTGGTTCTGTCACCTGTGTCCTGGTGGCCCTCCTGTCTCCTCTAGGCTGGCCTGGGGTGTCAGCTTCTGTCTGGGAGATGAGTCTCCTTTCTTTCCGGGAGTCCTGCCTGGCTTCCTCCGTGCATCAGGCTGGGGCGGGAGTGGGCGCTCATCCCCGTGCTGCCCTGGCCTTTCCTGTGCCCAACATCTACTGGTCTGAGCCTGTGGCTATCTTTGGCCACCAGCCAGAAGGGACCAGAAACCTGTGATACTTGGCCTGTGGCTTAATCATAGCAAGACTGAGCTGATCAATCCTTTCTAAGCCACTGAGAGTTTCAGGGAGCCGGGTGCTGGCTGGGTAGGTAGAGGCAGGTCAGCGTGGCCCCAGCAGACTGGGCTTCAGATGGAACCCCTCATGGGTCATTAGGTGTCTGCTGTGCTGAGGAAATCCATGCTTGACCTCTCTGGGCCTGGGTCCCCATACTTGGTTTTGCCTTAGGGTCTTAGTCTTTCTTGGCACCTAGTTTTGCAGTCAACACAAGGGAGGTAGTTGCCAGCTAGCACTGGGGCCCCCTTCCTGGACTTTCTCGCACGGACATGCACGCTCAGTCCCTGGTGCTGTTTTGGCCCGTGTGCCTTGCAGTAGCCTTGTGCGGCGTCATGGCTGGGCTTGAACACGGCTCTCTGGGCCCTTCCCGCCGGCACCACAGCGCCATCTGCCGGACAGCCCTGGCCCTCCTGCTGAGGGGCGTGGCTGGCGTGGGCGTGGCTTGCTCCCGCCACGCCCCCAGTCGCCTGAGGCGGGCCTGCCCTCCAGACCCAAGCCCAAGTGTCGCAGTGTCTGGCCCTGGGCCCTGGGTTTGGCGTAGGGCTCTGCCATTTTTTCCTGAGACCGGCAGGTCAGGGCAGTGCCACAAGAAGTCCGAGCATCTGTAGACAATACTCAGCCCCCAGTCTTGGCTGCAGCGGGCGTCTTTCCACGGGAGCCTGTAGCGGGGCAGGCGTCCTGCTTCTCTGGCGGCGCCTTTGGGAGTCGCCTGGGATGGCCGGTCTCCCGCGGGGCGCCACGGCGAGCCCAGGCGAGCCCCAGGCTGTGCCGGACGAACCTGGAGCCCCAGGAGAGGGGTCTCGGCGGCTGTGCGGGGGCAGCGGACCAGGGGGCTCCTGGAGCGGGGACGGGCGCGTCTGCCGCGGTAGGGCTGGAAGCCCGGGTTCTGCGGCGCGTGCTCGCGGCCTTGCTGAGCCTCAGTCCCCGGCGCGTGCACGCGGCCTTGCTGAGCCTCAGTCCCCGGCGCGTGCACGCGGCCTTGCTGAGCCTCAGTCCCCGGCGCGTGCACGCGGCCTTGCTGAGCCTCTGTCTGGCGCGTGCATGCGGCCTTGCTGAGCCTCAGTCCCCGGCGCGTGCACGCGGCCTTGCTGAGCCTCTGTCCGGCGCCAGGTTCTCACGTGTGGCGGTGAGCGCAGCGGCCCTGCATTGCTTGGCGTGGCCTGTGTTTCTGACAGCCCTGCCTTTCTCCCTCTCCCAGGTCGGCGGTTGAGTAGCGAGGACCCCAGGGGCTTGAAGCCTTCACCGCGATGGCGGAGAAGCGGCCACTGGGGACTCTGGGGCCTGTGATGTATGGCAAGCTGCCCCGCCTGGAGGCAGACTCGGGGTCTGGGCACAGCCTGCTCCCCGCTGCTGGAAGCCAGGACCGCTGCAGCTATAAGGAAGCCTACTTCTCCTGTCCCATGGCGGGTACTCCCAAGGCAGGGTCTGAGCGGATGGCATCCTGGGCCCCATACCCACCACTGTACACCCCCAGCATGGCAGGCCCTCCACTTCGGACAGACAGCCTGCTGACCAACTGCCTGCTCTACCGCTCACCAGCAGAAGGCCCTGAGAAGATGCAGGACTCCAGCCCTGTTGAGCTCCTGCCCTTCAGTCCCCAGGCTCATTCCTACCCAGGCCCGCCACTGGCAGCGCCCAAACCTGTCTACCGAAATCCTCTGTGTTATGGGCTCTCCACTTGCCTGGGGGAAGGGGCAGCAAAGAGGCCACTGGACGTTGATTGGACACTGGTGACTGGGCCTCTGTTGCCCTCAGCTGACCCACCTTGTTCTCTGGCCCCGGCTCCTGGCAAGGGCCAGTCCCTGGATGGCACCTTCTTGCGTGGGGTGCCAGCTGAAGGGTCCAGCAAAGACTCCTCGGTGAGCTTCTCCCCATGCCAAGCATTCCTGGAGAAGTACCGGACCATCCACAGCACAGGCTTCCTGGCCTCCAAGTATACAAGTCCTTACTCTGGGGACCCCAAACAAGCGATGTCCAAGGGGCCTTCCAGTCCTTGGACCCAGCCAGCCCAGCCCCTGGGGCCACCCTGCCAGGAAGTCATGCCCACCCACTACCCACTGCCCCCACCCCCACAGGCACTGCCTTGCCCTCCAGCCTGTCACCACCCAGAGAAGCAGGGCAGCTACAGCTCAGTGCTCCCCCTGCAGCCCCTGGGAGCCCACAAGGGCACTGGGTACCAGGCTGGTGGGCTTGGCAGCCCCTACCTGAGGCAGCAGGCAGCCCAGACACCCTACGTGTCCCCATTAGGGCTGGACACTTATTCCTATCCCTCCGCCCCCCTCCCAGCACCCTCACCAGGCCTCAAGCTGGAGCCACCTCTTGCTCCACGGTGCCCACTGGACTTTACTCCCCAGACCCTGAGTTTCCCTTATGCCCGGGATGACCTCTCTCTCTATGGAGCATCCCCGGGGCTTGGAGGGACACCACCTTCCCAGAACAGCATGCAGGCTGTGCCACAGCCTGGTGCCTTCCAGAGGACATGCCAGCCTTTGCCAGCCAGCGAGCCATGTTCGGAGCCTGTGAGGGCTGCAGAGAAGCCAGCCCAGGAGGCCAAAGAGAAGACGTGGCTGCCTAGCTGCAGGAAAGAGCAGCTACAGCCCCGGCTTAATGAGCACCCTGGGGCTCCCATTGTCATCCGGGACAGTCCGGTTCCCCGTACCCCACCAGCACTTCCCCCCTGTGCCCAGGAGCACCAGTCTCTTCCACAGAAGGAGGGTGCCAGGCCACCCAGCTCTCCACCGATGCCTATCATTGACAACGTCTTCAGCTTGGCCCCCTATCACGACTATCTAGATGTGCAGGCACCCGAGGCCACAGCTGAGTCTGATTTGGCTCCAGCCTCCAGTGAGAGCCATGACAAAGGCTGTAGGAGGACCCTGCCTGCCCAGGAGGGCCCCTCAGGGGTTCACTGCTCACGTAAGGAGGAGATGGCCCTGGACTTGAGTGTGAAGAAGTCCACAGCAGAGGCTTCTCCCGTCAAGGTCCCTAGTCCTGTGATACATGCCAAGCCCACCAAAGCCATGAATGTGCCAGATGTGGGGAACACAGTGTCAGATCTGCCAGGCCTGAAAAAGATAGTCACAGAAGCCCCAGGGTTGCCTGGGGTGCCAGCGACCACGGAGGCCATGCCAAGAACCAACTTCCATAGCTCTGTGGCCTTCATGTTCCGAAAGTTCAAGATCCTCCGACCAGCACCCTTGCCTGCAGCCATGGTCCCATCCACACCCACTTCCGCTCCTGCCCCTGCCCAGTCTGCCCCAACTCCCACATCTGTACCCATTGGACTACAGATTCTCACTCAGCCCTTGCCTGTGGCCTGCTTCAACCTGGCATTGCTCAGCCCTCCAGTAGCTGTGGCATCCCCTGTCCCCAACCCTGCTCCAGCTCCATCCCCAGCTCCTGCTCCTGCTCCAGGTGCAGGCCCCACTCCAGCATGTACACCTGCCCTGGCAGACTCCCCAGAGCAGCACTTCACAGGGCTGCACGCGTCCCTGTGTGATGCCATCTCAGGCTCAGTGGCCCACTCCCCACCGGAGAAGCTGCGCGAGTGGCTTGAGACAGCTGGGCCCTGGGGCCAGGCTGCGTGGCAGGACTGCCAGGGTGTACAGGGGCTGCTAAGCAAGCTGCTGTCCCAGCTGCAGAGCTTCGTGCACACACAGCGGTGCCCATTCCCCCATGTGGTGCGGGCAGGCGCCATCTTCGTGCCCATCCACCTGGTGAAGGAGCGGCTCTTCCCGCAGCTGCCACCAGCTTCTGTGGACCATGTGCTGCAGGAGCACCGCGTGCAGCTGCGGCCGACCACGCTGTCGGAGGAGCGGGCCCTGCGGGAGCGGGCCCTGCACGGCTGCACCTCACGCATGCTGAAGCTGCTGGCGCTGCGCCAGCTGCCCGACATCTACCCTGACCTGCTGGGCCTGCAGTGGCGCGACTGTGTACGCCGCCAGCTGGGTGAGCATGGGGCAGCCCCAGTAGCCACCGGAGCTGTGTGAGCGAGTGACAGGTGTGTGCGCAGTGTGAATGGGCCACAGCCAGGGCTGAGTGGTTCTAAGAACTCCTTTTTGGGCAGTGGGGGCTGGCTTTCCAGGGTGGGCTTTAAGGGACACCCCCACCCCATGTTCCCCCAGGCCATCAGTGAACAGCCAGCTGCTCTTCTGTCTCAGCCTCCCTGGTGCTGCGCCTCCCTGCGTTCCGTCCTCCTCCTCTGCTTGTGCCTTCCCCATCTTTTCCCCTTGGTGTTCCTGGGGCCCTGGCCAGGCCCCATTTCTGTCTGAGGTCACTTCCTCCTGTCTGTGTCCAGCCCAGCCTCTCCTTGTCTGAGCTCTCGCCCCAGACAACCCATGGCATGCCAGACTTTTGCACCTGTTTGTCTCTGCCACACTGAGCTCATCCTAAATCGTGCTCCTGAGCTTCCCCTAAGCTTACTCCCCACCCTACTCTTTACCATCTCAGTGAAGGGCACTCTGGTTCACAAGACCTGGCGGGGCCCCCACCCTCCCACTCCATACACCGCTCCCTTTCCAACGCATACTTTTTCAGTCCTCTGGGCACTTACATACACAGAAGTGTGCCCCTAGGTCAGAACGCTTTTGTGGTTTGCTTTCTCTCTACTAAATGATGTCTGGTGCCTACTGTTCTCAAACTAGTTTGTTTTTTTGTTTTTTTTATGTCTGGGATGACCACACAACCACAGTGTTGTAGGTGTGTATGATCACACTTCCACAGCCAGGACCCTGGTGATGGGATCAGGTGGTTTCTGTCATTGCTTCTCCTGCATCAGTACCCCTGGCATCGAGGTCCCCTCTGTGGTCTTTCTCTCCCTTCTGTCCCCACATTCCCACCACCCAGCCTATGTCTAGGTTGTTTCCCTGTAGAAACTGTCCCCAGTCCCAACCACATCCTGGCAGCCCTGCCCTGGGCCTTACCTGGTCAAGGCTCTAGGTAGGGTGAAGGGCCCGGGGCAGTGAGGTACAGGCTTGGGGCTTGGCTTCTGGTTGACCAGCACTCCTAATCCCTGAACACTTAGGAATTTGGGGCAGATGCCTTAATGGGGTGCAAGGAAAATTCAGGTGCAGGTGTTTTGTTTCTGAGTGCGAAGGAGTGCAGGTGGGTGTCCTGTGTCCCCCAGAGCTCCTCAGCCTAGCCCTCTCCCTGTCATTTGGGCTGTCAGGGGCCCAGAGAAGCTCATGTTTGCCTTTCCTGGTCTGCCTGGTAGGCAGTGGAGCCCGGGCACCCCACACCGTCCCCTCCTGCTCTGCCTCCAGCCTGCAAGAGTCCAGGGCCTGGTAAGAAGTGACTGGGGCCCAGCGTCCTGCCACTGGCTAGAGTTGGGTGCCCCTGTCCCATTCCCTCCATCTTTAGAGGCCACCTTCTGTGGGTGCCCCAGACAGTTACTTCTGCCTTTATTTCTCATGGGGGCTTGTGCTCCCCAATGCTCTCCCTTCTCAGGAGGAGTGCTCTGGGCCCCTCCCTCCGGTGGTGCTTTCAGGGCCAGCCCTGCCCAGTTGGGCTCTGGCTCTTGCTTCAGCTCTGCAGGTGGTATGCAGAAAGGTGGTGGCTCTCATGTATGGCAGGGCCTTTTCTTTCTATGCCTTGGTTTCCCCACTCGTACAATGGGGCTTTAGACCAGGCCAGTGGTTCCTGGCCTGCTGGGCTCCCCTTTCATCCTGTACCCAAACAGCCTCTCCGGAGCAGTGCCCTCATCAGATAGAGTTCTGGTGTCACCGGGGGAGAAATGCCTTTTTGGCTTGGATGGTCTGGCCAGTGGGCACATGTGGGGAAGAGTTGTGATATCTCTGACCTTGCTGGTGCCATGCTGGCCTGTGGCAGAGCAGAACCACTGTTCTAGATGGCTTCAGAGGCCACAAGGTGGGACCTGAGGCTGTGGGGTCTGCAGCCTGACTATTTGTTCATTTTCCAGGTGACTTTGACACTGAGGCTGGAGCTGTGTCCCCATCAGAGCCCACCACGGCCAGAGATGAGCCAGAGAGCCTAGCCCTGGCTCGGAAGTCACCGACCCCCAAGGTCAGGAAGCCGGGGAAGAAGCCAACAACTCCTGGCCCAGAGAAAGCAGAGCCAGTTGCCAGGGCAGGGTCCGGTGGTTCCTCACCTGCCCCTGCTGCCAGTGCCAGCCCTGCTGGCCCCACGCTGAGGGCCCGCTTCCGCAGCCTGCTGGAAACTGCCTGGCTCAATGGCCTGGCACTGCCCACTTGGGGCCACAAGGCCTCAGGACCAGACAGGCCCTCACCCCACCCACAGCTGCTGGGTGGCCAGAGCCATCACCTGTAGCCCTGGTGGCCGGTGCTGTTTGGGCAGCTATCTGCAGCTCACTCTACCCCTCCTTTCTGTCTGTCTAGTCCTGGGCCAGGTGAATGTCGGGGCTAGGGCAACTACCTTGGAGGGTCCCCCGCTTTCACCCTGGGCCTACCCAGGCTGGGCTGAGAGCCCCTGAGCTTTTAACTTATTAGATAGGACCACTTCCTCTTTCTTCCTAGAGAAAACACGTGGGCTTTGGAGCCAGACACATCTGGGCAAGACACCTGCCCCCTGTTGAGCCCTCATTCCCCATTTGTAAAATAGGACAACACAGCCTACCTCACGGGGTTGTTGTGGGGACGAAGCCTGACACACACCCGTTATGGTTTGGTCTCTTCTTCCTGGGACGGGGCCTGGTCAGGAAGCTGAGGCGAGCATAACCTTCCTGTAGAGTCTGTATGTATCACAGGACTTGCTGTCTTAGAGTGTACATCGTCTAGTGTGTATGACTCACACACTTCCGGGATTCACCACCGCCCCCCTCTGCCCGCCTGGAGCTCCCCAAGGGAGCCTGCTGTCTCCATTCCCCGTCCCTGCTACTGGTGGGGGACAGGCCTGGGGCTGGCATCCTTATTCTGGGCCTGCTGCTACCACCCCTGGAAGCCCCAAGCCGGTCCCGAATCGACATCAGTGACTTCCTGAGCTGCCTCTTCCATTCCATGCACTATCCCTGGAAACTTGTGTTTCTGGAAGCCTGGCAGCTGCAGGGACTCAGGGACTGGAGCAGGCAGGCTGAGTGGCAGCTCAGTCCTAGGAGGTCTCCGAAGATCATGATGAGACCGTGGCACTCCACAAGCCAGAGCTTGGCAGGCTTGCTGTGGACCACTTGTCTGTGGAGTGTTGACTGAGCCAGGGGCTGACATGAGGGTGGTTGGCCTTACGGGTTTGTGAAGAGCCTGTGGGCCCTGGAGGCAGGCCATTAAAGCATCCGGGTTTTTGGAATGGGGGCCTGGCTGTGTTTGTGGGAGGTGGGTTAATCCTGCGTCACTCTGTGCCTGGCCTTTCCCTGTCCCAGCCTAGGAGGTGCGAAGTGTCTCGAGTATCGCTGTGCTGGCTGGCTCTGGCCTGTGGGTCCTGGTGGGGGTTGGTCAGTGGCCTACTGCCCTGCGAGAGATGCTGATCACCAGACACCGCCACTTGTCCCTCTCCCAGGACCAAAAACATGCCCTCTCAATCTGGCTGGAACTGTCACCCCCTCATGCTGGTGACCACGCATCCCAGTGACCTTAGGTGGTGGGCCACTGGGCAACCCCTCCAGAGCCCTGCTCTCACTGGGCTCTATCAGCAGATTTGTTCTCAGGGCAGCCGGGGTGGTGGCATCCTGGGTCTGGTTTCCCACTCCACGTAGGCAGGCCAGCCCTCACAAGAGGGCTTGTTAGGTCTACCCAGCATCTGGGTGGGTATTCACTGGGCCCACACTGTCCCTCCTGTGCCAGCCTAGCCTTGCACTAAGCCAGGGGTTGAAGTGCTGTACACTGCGGGAAGAGCTACCTGGCCTGTGAGGGGATAGGCAGCCACGGCACACTCGCCCTGCAGTGACAGCCTGGGGGGAGGCTGCTGTGGAAGCTCGAGGGAGGCGTCCTTGAGTACCAGAAGAGGCGATGCCCGAACAGTGCCTTGGAAACCAGTATTAATAGAAGTTGCGAGAACACATGCCAAGCAGGGTCTGAGTAGAAATCCCTGGGTGGGGCTGGAGCTCCGGGAACTGAAAGGGACATGGGTGGGCTGGAAGCCTGGCTTCAAGTCCACTGTCACGTCATCAGCACTCTCAAACCTACAACCTGAAGAATAGGGCTTGGGCCGTGTGTGCACAGAAAGCTGAGGGCAGAGCTGGAGTCGCTCGAGGCTGCTCCTGTGAGGAGAGGACTGCGCAGAGGGCAGCTGTGCTGGGCCCGGCTCACCGGCCCTGGGCAGCCCATCACCGCCCAGGGGCTCAGGCTGTCTTTCCTTCCGTCCCCCTCCCTCCCTCGAGTACCTTGTCCCTGCCACACGCTGGTGTGTTACTGAGAGTCCAGCACTTCCCTCGAGGCCACATCAGAAGAACGAGGACACCTGGTTTGAGAAGAAGGAAAGAGGACTTTTTAAAATTTTCAGGCAAATGAGGCTGGCAGACCCCTGTCCCCAAGTACCAACGTCCTGCTTCTGAGCAGAAGTACTGACCTTTTTATTTTATTATTATTTTTTTTTCCTTTTTTTTAACCTTTCTAGAGATGGCAACTTTTTAAAAGCTCCCAGTCATCTCATCTTTAGCAAGGCTACCAGGACAATCCCCTCGAGCCATCTCCTGTGGCACAAAGGACAAAGGACGCTTCCGCCCACTGGCCTGAGGCGGGGATGCAGGTTTTAGTTCTCAGAAAGGGTGAGGGGTTTGAAGGGACAGAAAACGCTTCCCTCCTTCTCCAGGCCCTGCTCTGTTGCAGGCACACTGCATGCTGATGGCCGAGGGTAGTAAGGCCTGGGACATGCAGGGCTCACACACGGTTGGCCTGAGGCCCCAGAGGGTCCTGGCGGTGCGGAGGCTGGGCTGGCGTGGTATAGGGTGGACATGCTGGTGGTATTCACCAGGAGACAGCTCTGTCCCAGGAGCCCCACCTGGGAGGGGAGAGACCTCGCCCTGCCCCAAGGTTCTAGACATAGGGAGGAGCCCAGCCTGGGGCTGTAGGGCAGGAACAGAACTGCCCCTCCTTGCCGCAGGGAGGCAGGGCCCTACCCTAGGTACTACTCAGTTTTTCACTAACCCTGCTGGGGGCACAGGAAGGAGTATGGAAGCTCTGCAACAGGGCCCTCACCCCTCAAGGATATGCCCACCTATCTAGGTTGAATGTGGCTCCTCCGGTCCCCTGTAACCATCTGAATCTCCTGGGCTGGACCAGGCCAGGCAGGGCTTCTCAGACAGAACCACCCAGAAATGGTTTCAAGAATGGTCTTAGGCAGAGCCCCAGAATCTGGGTTTTAATCAAACTCACAAGATGATCCCGAGCTGGGTGTTTTGAGTAACCACCACCATGACAGATGGGGAAACAGCAGATTCAAGCAGTGTCAAGATGCTCTGGGCTCCCTGGGTGGGCGTGACCCTCTGCACCTGCTCTGCTCAGCCGGCATCAGCCTACCCAGACCTCCAGGCTCATAAGTGCATCCCTTGCCCTAAGTTACTCGGATGGGGTTCAGGTGAGGCTCCAGCTTAGGTAGGGCCCAGCCTCCCGGGTGCCCCACCTGGCACCCCAGCCCAGAACAAAAGGCTGAGAGGCCCAGTGTCCGGCTTTGCTGATGGAGTTGAGCCTGCAGGAGGTGAGTGAGAGCCGGGGTCTTAGGAGAGGTGGGGAGTTGGGGGTGGGGAGGGCTGTGCCCGGGGTGGTCGTCAAGCCCATCCCCTTGGTGAGCTCCAGGCGCCCCTTCCCTTGCTTGTTCTCACTGAGGGGGCTGGGTTGAGCAGTCTGGGTCTACCCCAACCCCCATACTGGGGGCAGAGCCACCTCTGACCTGACTGGCTGTGTCTCCTCTCCCCCTGCAGTTGCCTTGCTGGAGATGGGGGTGCGTCCAGCTCATGGGGCCAAACCCCCAGCCCAGCCTGGTGCCCCAGCTGAGGAGGCTTGGGGCGGGCATGGCTGCGAGGAAGACCACCAGGAAGCCCCAGCCAGCGGACAATGGCTGCTGGCTATTGTCCCTGGGCAGTGCCCCTAGACCCCACGGCCAGGTACCCCCAGAGAGGGAGCCCCCAGCTCAGCCCAGTGCAGCCCTTCTAGGCCCCCTCTGCTTCCAGAGATGAGGATGGCCCCAGGGCCAGGGACGGAGCTGCAGAGCCCCTCCTGTCTCCTCTCTAGCTGGACACGAACCCCCGTGCTGGACTGGGGGTGCGCGCTCCACAAGCCAGTACTCTGGTGCCGCCGTGGGGACCCCAACTCTGGGCATTCTGGCCACTGCAGAGGCGCCTGCGACTGTGGAGCTCTCCACCCTCCCTGATGCACAACCCCAGCCGCGGCCAGCCCCATGGCTCTGTCCTGGGGAGGTCTACCTCCCAGGTCCCTGTGACTTCTTGGGACAATGAGGACCTGGGCTCCTGGGAAGTGGGTGCTGATCTCCTGAGCCCCAAGAAGGACCTTAAGAGACTTGTTCTGTGCTTTCAAGGCCGGCAGGGAGCCCTTGCTTCTTTCTCCAAGAGCCATCGGAGAAAGGCACCTGCAGGCCTTTTCATTCTCAGACCAGGGTGACGGGGCCAGGGCAGGCCCCTCTCCAAGCCGTAACTGTAGCCCCTAGTTCCTCTCCTATCTGTAATTCCTGGAACCCCAAGATTGGTGGCTGCATCTCCTCAAACCATACAAACCTCTCAGACCCAATCCCTTTCTCAGAGGGGCTGGGGCTTCAGCTTAGAGCCCACAGCACAGATGCCAGGCGCTTCCGCCAGCTTCTCGTCTGCTGAGGCCTTGCCCTTCCTTCTGAACCCTCCTCAGTGAGGGAGGCACAGGAGACCCTGGAGACAGCCCCTACTCAGGGAAGCGTGGGTTCTGCCCACCTTTCCACAAGGCTTGCACCTCCCCCGTGCAGGACAGCCAGGTAGCCCTGTCCAGTCTTTGCTGCCACCCCTCAGCTTGCCACTCCTGGCCCTGCCCATCACTACCCTGGCACTGCCAAGCCTAACAAGTCCCCAGCTGCTAAAGGCTCAGTCCTCACTAGATCTGCCTGCTGCTGCCCCAGCACAGTCTTCCAGCTCAGCAGCTGTTCCAGGCCCCAGCTTCTGGTAGCCCAGCCCCTTCTAGGTGTTGCCTTTTGTCCTGGATGAATCTTAACAGATTCTTCTCCAAGACACAGCTTTGCTGGCTATGCCAGGCTGGATTGGGCCCAGCGAGTCTCAGTCTGACCATGAGCTGCTGCTGCCGGGTCAGGATGGGCTGACTCAAGCAGATATGACACCATTAACAAACCCAGACTTGACTTCTTGACCCCTGTGGTCTCTTTTGGGCATGATGTCCCCCTGCCCCATGCTTAGGTACCCGCATGTGGCCACAAGTGCCTGTGACTTCCCTACCCCCTTCCCCACCCACTACCTGTGCCTGTCTCACCCCTGCAGGTACATCGGGGGCTGAACTCCTTCCCTAACCTCATGTAGGTGCTGACCTGAGGTTTCCAGTGAGTTTTGGGGTAGGCTTCATTGCCTTCCCCCTCCTGGGCCTGGGGAACCTGTGGCTCAATGAGGCATTGGCCTGGGCTGTTTCCCACACTGTCCCCTCCCAAACATGGGGCTGCGTGCTCTGTCCCCTGGTGGGGCGAAGGGAGCAGCAGAGTTCCACCCTCCGGGTTCAGGTCCTAGGGGAGCCTCTGCGGTCGGTCGGGATGTGGCAGAGGACACAGGCTGTGGAGTCAGGGGGTGGGGTGAGCCCAGCCTGCCACTTCGGCCTTGGGCAAGTCATTTATGCTGTGCTTCCCTTCCCCAGTGGTAAAATGGGGATAACAGTGCCTAGTTCACAGGTGCTTGGCTGTCAGCATGAACTGAGTCTGGGAGCAGGTGCAGCCAGACCTGGGTCTGCGCCCCGGCCCCGCTGTGAGACGAGAGTCTCTGAGCCTCTGTTCATTCATCTGGAGAATAGGGCGGCTCCATGCGAGGGTTGCTGTGACAACTAAACAAGCCCGTTGACGCTGGCAGGGGCCTCCTGAGATGGTTGGAGGTGGGCTCTGGAACTTGTCCCCATGCTGCCAACAGAGAAGACTTGCTTAGCAAAGACTCACCTGAGTCTGTATGGTCCCGTCATTGTCCTGCAGACCCTAGTGGTGGCCATCCAGCCTGGTGGCCATCTGGTGGCCTCACCTTTCCCAGTGGACCCTTTGTCCTGTGTGTGGCAAGTACACTGTGCCGCGTCTGGAGAGGCCACACTCACCTGTGGGTTCTCTTCCTTGTGCCCTCGCTGACCAGGTGTGTGCCACCTCCTTAAAGCCTGCTGTGTTCACTGAGTCTGAACTACATCTTTGCGCAAGGCCTCAGGCAAAGCTTCAAGTAGCCTGGTTTGCAGGGGGCCGGGAAACCAAAGCCTGGAGAGGGAGGGGTCTCCTGCAGCCCACCTGGCCAGCCTCAGCCTCAGAGCTGTGGCGTTGTCCCACCCGGTTCTCTCCCTGACACCTGCAGCGGCCCCGGTGGTAGCATAGGTGGCTGGAGAGGACAAGGCTGGTATGTCCTTTCCTCTGCGAGAAGAGAGGACCTAATGGGGATGTTTCAGGAATCACAACAGCCTGAGGAGCGTCTCCCAGGGACCTTGTCCTACACCTTGGCTGCCCTGGCTCTAGTCCTTATCTGTGGGTACTGGGAGCATGGGGCTGACCTGGGACCTGTGCATGTATCAGGCTAGTCTTCAGGGTGCTGATGTTGGGGCAGCAGCCCTTCAGGGCCAGGAATGAGAGGCCTGTATTTTACAGAGGCACAGAGGAACCTGCTACCAGCTGTGGTCAACCCTACGTGATCTTTCTGCTGACTCTTTGGCAGCTTGGTGCTGGCTGCTGACTTCACCCAGTAAGCTCATGGTTTGGGCTCCTGGGGGTCCCTGCACTGAGCCTGCTGGCTCTCTGCAGGCAGGGGAGCCTTTGGGCAGGACCATGCCCGACTCCTTCCCTTTTAGGTCATGGCTTCAAAAACCATCCCTGAGTTCTACCACCACCAAATCTCTCTTGTGTCCTGGTGGGCCTAGGAGCTGCTGGAGCTTTCTAGGTTAAGGCCTTTGCCTACCCGTGTCCCCCAGGAGATTGCCAGGCCTGCCCCTATAACCCCTCCCCTAGGCCAGTGAGGGGCTGCAGGGGTTGGCCTCGGTCCCAGACCTCTCTAGCCAGGACGGCCTGCCCTGGGAGCCTGTCTTGTGCCTGGTCTGAGGCTGACTGTCCCCGGCAGTCCTCCTCCCCACCCTTGACCCCAGGTAGTCTTCCTCCTCCTGTGGGCTCTACTCTGGGGCGCTCTCATCTCTTCACACTGGATGACTGTCTAATGTTTAGAAATAGAAGCAATTTTTTTACCAACTTCAGATTGCCCTCTAACTTTTCCATACCCCAAAGGACCAGAGTTTCTCTTAAGCTGGATGATGCCTCCAGCCCTTCCAGGCCAGGCTAGCAGAAAGGCGCCTTTGCCCCAGCCTCTTGATGGAGGGGGATTGGCCCTTCCACAGGGATGCAGGCACCTATGGGGGCTGCGCTCCACCTGCTGAGGCCCCCACGCCTGACCGCCGAGGTGCCGTGTGTGGACATGCACGTGCAGGATTGGACCTTGCGCTTCCTCCCGCCTGCCCCCTTCTCAGTCCTCCGCGTGTGCGCAGGGGCAGGGGCTCCTGGCTGCAGTCTCCTCCTCTGTGAGCAGCTATCTGAGCCAGAGGGGGAGGCTTGTGTGAGCGTGTGAAGCACGTGGAACAGGCCTGGCCCGAGTAAGCACGGGTTTTCCCCAACTTTATGCACCTTGCGGGTAGGGTAGGGAGCCCGTCTTCCCAGCACAGGTGACAAGGCATTGCTTCCCCCACCCACCCCCGTCCCAGCCCTGAGAGTCTAGTCTTTAGGTGTCCCGGGAGGGGAGAAGCCTCCCTCGCTGTGTGACCGTGGCTGGTGCCTCGCCCTCTCTGGCTCTGGATTCCCGGGCAGGTGAGGAGTGCAAGAGCATAAGATTCACCCTTCAGGATGGAGCACTGTCTGTGGAAGCCCTGGCGTGTGGTGAAGGTGGGGGACGAGAGGTTTGGAGTTTCAGTGGAGGGAGCAGCAGTGTGAGGGCCACCTGGAGGTAGAGCACAGGGAGCCAAAGCCGGGAGTTGGGAACAGCTGAACACACCCAGGACAGCACTGCCCACCTCGGCACGCCCACCTGGCCCTGGGGCGGAGGGGGCAAAGGCCAGGAGACACAGAGGAGACCGAGTTGGTCCACACGTGTCCCACGCCTCTTCCGGGACCTGGAGGTGCCACTGAATGGGTCCCCGTGTCCCAGGAGATAGGGGGAGAACCAAGATCCCCCCACATCTGCATTTCTGTTCCAGTTCTCCCAGCCTCCTGCGGGTGTCTGTCAGCCCCAAGCTTCATTTCCAGGGTTGTGGGAGGCAGCCGGGAATGGGCGGGCTGAGGGGCCTGTTTGGAGGAGCCTGCCTGACCACCCGGCTGCTGCCCTCACCACCTGGACACTGCCACCAATGCTCCCTGGGCAATGGTTACATGAGGCCTTGCTGGCCAGAGGGGCAGAGCCCACCACCGAGTAAACACCGGGGGGCAGGGCAGTTGGACATCCACTTGCCTGTCTGGAGAGGCCACAGTGCACTCCTACTCTGGGGGTGGGGCTTCAGGCCCCCCAGACTGAGCTCCCCATAGCAGGCCCTCCTCCTCAGCACCTTGGAAGAAGGGTGGGTCCTGGCATGAGGCCAACCCCCTGGCTGGAAACTCCTCGGCTCCAGCTGGAGTCTGAGGAGGCCCTGGGCGCAGGTGGGGAATAAGTGGTAAAGGGGCCTGCTGACCCCTCAGATAGACCCAAAGGTCAAGAGGTCAAAGGCTCAGGCTGCCCCAAGGAGCCCCCAGCCCAGCCAGCCACTCACCAGGATGAGGCTGAGCGAGACGAGCAGGGGGCTCGGGGCGAGGAGGGCTGCAGGGTAGCTGGACGGGGAGGTGGCAGGCTGGCCTGAGACTTCCGGGCTGAGGGTGCCTGGAGAGAGCAGGAAGCCCGTGGCCAGGTGGGGCCCTCCTCTCAGACCTGCCGAGAAGCCCTGGTGTGGGGTCTGGCCCAGCAGTGCTGTAGGAGTACAGGCTGGGGGCGCCTTGAGGAGCTCCCAGGAGGCAGCAGGTCAGGGTGGGCAGCGGTGGCAAGCCCCAGGGAGGAGGCAGATGGACAGAGGACAAGGACAGAGGGAAAGCACCGCAGACAGAAGGAGGCAGATGCACTGACCGAGGTCTGGGATGACCATCTCTACAGAGAGGCCCTCAGCCTCCCGCAGGGCACACAGCCCAAGAGAGTGCACTCAAGACTGGGAAGGCACAGCCCCGCTGAGGGGTGGGGTGGGCCCTGACAGCCATGTACATTCACCTGAAGACCAGGACACCGATGCCCTGGAAGCTGGGGAAGGCCTCCGGATAGACAGACGCAGCTAAGGACAGGCGGAGACATGGAAGGCTGGCACACCCCACCCCACCTGCTCTGCAGCCCAGCTCCTCCTGTCCTAACTCACCCTCTCTGTAACCCACCCCTACATTCGTCCACCCCATCATCTCCAGCCTGGCCCTGTGATGGTCTCCGCATTGACCACCTGGGCTGCCCAGGCCCTGCCCAAGCTGCTTCCCACACAGCAGCCAGAGATAACCTGCCAGTCACCCTCCACTGAACACTGGGGAGCAGCAAACGCCCGGCACTCCCAGGCCTTTCCCTCTCTGCTATCTGATTTCTTGAGAACCACTCTCCAATCCATCCATGCTTAGCCCTGCATCTGGACAGCTGCCGTCCGGCCTGGAGGGGCCAGACCCCTCCTCCTAACTGGTCTCCCGTTCCCACTTGCCACCCCTGCCCTGAGTTCTCCACACAGCTCCTCTCCCTGCAGCCCTCGGCCTCTGCCGCTTGTGACCACCTGCCACCGCTGCGTCCCCGCTTGCGCTGTGCCTTCTGCCTATAAAGGCCTCCCTGGTTCATCAGGCTGCCTTCTCCATCCGTTAAAAGTCCCCTTTCTCAGAAGGGCGTTCTCCGAGCAACTCCCTCACCCAGCAATCAGCCCACCACACCTGCACATCCCCTCCCACGGCTGTGAGACTCTAGCTGCAGGTGGGTTTCTGTGCTTGGCACTTTGAGGACAGGAGTGGGCCTGCTTTGCTCACTGTCCCACTCCCAGACCTTGGCACAGTGCCTGGTGCAGTAGGCACTCAGGTAGTTGTAGGAAGAAATGAATCAGTCAAATAAATGAATGAATGCACCCACCGACTAATACTCAGACTGAGCTCCCCGTGGAGGACAGGCAAGAAGTGGCACTTCCTGGCCAGGGCACCTTCGCTGCCTGTCGTTCTAGAACTGAGGCAAGACTGGGTTTGGTTGTGGCCATAGGAACTCAGCCTCACTCTGCCAGGGGATGAGGTCCTACTGGTCCTTGCTGGTGCTTTGGGCCAAGAAAATGCCAGCCAGTCACACAGTGAGCCCTGCCTCTAGTTTCCTGGTAGATAGACAAGTAGAGTTTTCTCTCCAGAATATTTCTGCCTGGGCTCTCCCTTCCTGCTGGGAGCTTTCAGTTTTCTACTTCTTAGGTTCCCACCCCCACTGCACATGCTCCTCCACTAGCAGCAGCATGGGGGAGCTCATTCATTCATTCGACACTCCTGGAAGCTCCATGTGTGCCTGGCTGTGTACCCACCTGTCCTCAGGGAGCTCATGGCCCGGTGGGAGCAGCAGGCTGGGACAGGACAGTGTGGCAAGGGCAGGTGACTGTGTGAGGGCAGGGGTCTGAGCCATCGGGAGTGGTTGCTCTACGGAGGCAGCCGTCACCAAGCAGAAAAGGCAGTGGAGGGCGAGAGATGCTGGGGGACTGACAGCAAGCACCATAGCACTGGGGCGTGACTGGGCCTGGCACTCGCAGAAAGTGCGGGCGGCAGGCAGGGGCCAGCACTGGTCCACTGCCCACTGCACACTGGGGAGGTGTCCTCACTTGGTGGCGGATGCTCTGACTCAGCAGCTGGTGCTACTGGGAGGCAGGGCTCCAGAACATAGCTTCATTGGTGATTATGACGGTCACAGAGTGTGTCGCTTGACTGGGCCCTGGGCTGGAGAAGACTGAGTCCTGCAATGAGCTAGCATGACCAGGATGAGGCAGGGCAGAAGACTGGGCCATGGGGGAGCCAGGGCCAGGTGGGGCAGGGGGAAGGGCGGTGGCCATGAGGGCTGGGCCAAGCAGGGACCCCTGCCCCAGGCTGGGCTGTCCCTGGAAGAGTGGCTGGCTCTGGAACCATCAGGGGTGGCAGGGCAGATGGGAGGCTGGAGGTACTGAAGGGACAGTCAGTGGCTGTGGGTGGGAACACAGATGCAGATGGGTCCAGAAAGGTCCTGGCTCTGGTAGTTACTGGGGAAATCGGAGCCAGGACTGGGGATGGCGATGTTGTCGGTGACTGAAATGGTGGTAGTGATGGTGGTGGGGAAAGTGATGGTGACAATGACAAAGATGGAACTGTGGATGATGGGGATGAGGACAGGGGCCATCGATGCTGGTGGGGTCTGGGGAGAAAGATGGTTACAACTATGAAGATGGTGCTGCTGAGGGCAACATGGAAGGGCCACCAGGCCCTGGGCCCAGACTGGATGCCATAGCCCCTCTGGGTGACCAGGAGCCCACCATGAGGGCAAGGGAGGTCATGGACTGCCTTGGCCAGCCTGGAGCTACAGCAGGAAGAGGCTCTGTGACTGCCAGCATGTTAGCAATTGATGTAAACACAGGTTGGCCCCGGGATACTGAGGACTCAACATCCCCTGGGGCCCCTGGAGCCAGTGTCAGAGGTGGGGAGGCGTCTGGCCCAGACTTGCCAGCCCCTCGTGCAGCTGGCATGCAGGTGCTGGGACTGAAGGTGCGCCTGCCCGGCAGCCAGGTCAGCAGGTGTGGGCATCCCCATGTGGGTGCGGGGTGGTGGAGCAGAGCATGCTCCGGGTGGCTGTTGGGTTGGTCGAGGGGTGACGGGTACAGGGGCAGGAGCATGGACTATCACAGACAACCAAGGGGCCTCACTGGACTCCTGCCCAGACCCGAGGTGCTGAGGACAAGGAGAAACCGCCGATGGTGAGGTGGCTGCAATGTCTGGAGATCCAGGTGCCTAGCGTCTCCTCTGCCGGTCCAGACACAGAGGATCCGCAGGGGCTGAGGAGGGAGAGCAGCCAGGGACCGCCAGGTCAGGAGGAAGAGGCAGGGCAGAAGCCGAGACTGCCAGTACAGCTGCAAACCAGGAGGGCTGGGATCGGCCAGCCTCTCACATGCCCACCATCCCTGCCTCCTCCGCTACTGAGTGGCCTGAGGAGACCCAAACCCTGGCCAGCACTGCCTCCAAACCCCTGAGCCCACCAGGGAAGCCCTGCCTGCCTCCCAGGAAGGGCACTTCAAGGACAAAGGGGCATACCTCAGGGACCCTCTCTGCCTCCTGCCCAACTGCACCCCATCGCTGGTCTCCTCCCCCAGGGAAGGCCTCAGGAGCTCCCCGGGAGAATGCACTGTCCGGGCCTGGGCCCCGAGCAGGTCTGTCTGAATGACCCCTGAGGCCCAGGCCAGCCCAGTGGTGCCGGCTGCCCAGCGGTGAGCGCTTCTGCCCGGGCCCCTCGCCATTTCCACCCCTGCACTCGGGAGCAGGCTCAGCTGCCCTACCTCGCCAGGTGGGCTCCAGCAAAGCCTTTGTCCCCTCAAATGTGCCTGCCCCACAGCCAGGGCTTATGGTCCTGACAACATATTGGGGAAGAGTTCGATGCCAGGTGTGAGGTGGGCGCTCTCCAGGGAGGTGGGACAGTGCTGGAGAGAGGGAGGGTCTCATTGGGGTGTGGTGGGGAGTGTCAGTGCTGCTGGGGGCTGTGGGGACAATGTCATGGTGGAGTGGTGAGGACGGTGTGGTGGGGTGGGGGCCCTGCGTCCAGATGGGCTGGAGCGTGCCGGGAGGGGCAGGAGGCCACAGCCATGGCCCAGCCTCTGCCCCAGCTCCTGTCCCAGGTGGTCCCTGCTCCTGTTCCCTCAGACCAGGCGGGCGGGCGGGCGTGGTGGAAGGCAGGTCAGAAGAGAACAGTCCTCCTCCCTCAGTGCCAGTCCTGCGGGACCCCGCTCAGAGCCCTGACTGGGCTGGGGAACGTGGAGCAGGCAGGCTGTGGGCAGAGGGTCCTGGCGGGCTCCCCAGCCCAGTCCTGCTTTCCTGTGGAGTCCCGGCGCAGGAGAAGGGCCAGAGCAGCCCTAAGAAGGAAGCTCAGAGCTTTGAGGGGCCAGGGAAGGCCAGTGCCCGGTGCCAGCGGCTTAGGTCTAGACCCAGCTCCCCACCCCACCCCTTGGGCTGTGGAAAGTCCTCTAAGCCTCTCCCACCAAGCCTCTGTGTGATCCTGCCCTGACAGTCAGTGTGTGTCCCAAGTCACCAGAGCCGTCTCTGCTGGGGAGATAATCACCAGAAGCCTTGAGTAGGAAATCAGGCCTGGGAGGGCCTCCACCACACCCGCTGCCCAGCCCTGCACACTGCCCGGCTCCTTCCACCTCGATACACCCCTGCCCCATGAGGCCCCTTCTAGGTTAGAGATATTTTCTAGGGGGAAAAAGCATCCTCCACGACCCACCCCACTGCAACACACACGTCCCAGGGTCACACCAGGCTCCCTGCCCAGCCCTTGCATCACACTGACTCTCGACTCAGCTGCTTGGTGAGCGGCGAGCATGCCTGTCTACACAGCCGGGGGCTGCCCTGTGTGGTGCAGATGGTTAGGGCCCAGCCTGGCCCAGTGAGGGTCGGGAGGGATGCTCTCCTCAGGGCAGGGAGGCAGGCTTTGGCCTTTGGCAACATAACCTTCCAGGCCTGTTTTTGTTGCCCCCAGAGCCACCCTGCTGACCCTGCGGCCCATCCCCAGGCCAGCCAGCCCTCTCTGGCGCCCCTTCCTGCTCCTTGCCCATGCCCGCAGCATGCCCAGGTCTTACCTGTGGGCCTGGTGCTGCAGGAAGCCTCTGTCTGTGGAGGTGCTGGTGTTCTGCGGAGGAGGGCGTGAGAACAGTCCCTCTGCCCAACCCCTGTCGGACCTGCAGGGCCACCCCCTTCCCAGGCACACTCAGGACCAGGGAGATCTGGTTTCTGATGGCTCCACCCACACCTGGGACACTGGGCACTCCTCTCCTGCCCTCTCCATCACCCCTGGGTCAGGCTGGCCGGAGCCAAAGCTGGGGACAGAGCTAGGGCAGACCTAGGCCTCTGCCAGAGATGCTCTTAGCACCAGGCCCACCTGGAGCACTGGTAAGAGCAGGACCTCCCTGGGACACAGCGAGGGAGAAGGGACAGAGACATGCCTGGAGCACGCTGTGCCAGCAGCCGCAGGGCGCTCGGGTCAGGCTCCAGCGCTGGAGGCAACGCAGGAAGCCAGGCACACGCTCACCCTCCCCTCTGAGCCTCTCCTGGTCCAGGCCAACTTCAGGGAAAACTAGTCGAGAACTGGAGATCAGGGCTCAGTGTGACAAGTGCCAGGCCGGGTGTGGGGCCAGGGAAAGGCAAATCTGGAATTGGATCTGTGCTGGGTTCGGCCCGAGCGCTCTTCCCCGCTCCAGGCTCTCCTCAGAGGCCAGCCCAAGACCTGAAGTAACCCGTCCAAATGTGCGAAATAAACTGAACGGGAACTCTGGCCTCAGGTGAAGAAAGATTTCCACAAAATCACTATGAAAAGATCCAGCTGGGCGCAGTGGCTCACCTGTAGTCCTAGCACTCTGGGAGGCTGAAGCAGGTGGATTGCTTGAGATCAGGAGTTCGAAACCAGCTTAAAAGAGTCCCCTGTCTCTACTAAAAATAGAAATAAATTAATTGACCAACTAAAAATATATATATAAAAAATTAGCCGGGCATGGTGGCACATGCCTGTAGTCCCAGCTACTCGGGAGGCTGAGGCAGAAGGATCGCTTGAGCCCAGGAGATTGAGTTTGCTGTGAGCTAGGCTGATGCTACAGCCCTCACTCTAGCCTGGGCAACAAAGTGAGACTCTGTCTCAAAATAAATAAATAAATAAAAAGATCCACAACTTCCAGGACAGGATGAGGTCTGGCCCCTTCCTCTGCAGCCCCTCAGCCAGGACCCCCCAGCCCTGCAACCATGGCAGTGTCCCCTCCCCCTTTGAGTTCCAGGGCCCCAGCGGCCTGCAGTTCTGCTGCTCCAGGCAGAGGCTGGCCCTGTGCACACCCCTCCCCAGCACACACTTCCTCCTGCTCCGTGTCGTCGTCCTGTGTCCCTGGCCCAGTGCCAGAGGAGAGGGGATGTGGACACCCGCTGGGTCCTAGAGAGTGGGTCAACAGCAGGCGAGGTGGGACCCAAAGGGAGAAGCAGGACAAGGGCAGGCCGTCGGGCTGAGCAGGCAGACATTTGCCGAGACACACACGCCGCTGTGCCTGTGCGCCTTCCGAGGCAGCAGCCCAGCTGCAGGCAGGCTGCACCTTCCTGGCACTTTCTTCCTGGCTCCCAGCCTGAGCTCCAGGGGAGGTGGGATGGCATGCCACCGTACACTACGCTCCCGTGGGACTCTTGGCAAGCGCCCACCAGGTCCAGCCCTCAGTTTCCTGTCAGCACGTGGCGGTTTGAGGGCTCAGGCCCCTCCGCCAGGACAGAACCAGGGGCTCATGGGAAGAAAGGGAGAAAAGGGTGGGGAAGCCTGGTACCCTGCACATCCTCTGCTGGATTCTGAATACCCTGTGCGGCCTTGAAGGCCTATGTGCTTCCCACGCCAGCCTGACCTGCTGACTCTACTCCTGGGGCTGGCGGGGCTAGCGAATGCTCACAGTCTCGCCTCTCCTCACCCTCCAGCCACATCCCAGAGCCCCCCAGTTCCCTCCTCCCCTCAGGAACCCAGCCAAGGCTCCCCCAGGTTTTGCAAAGGGTCTCGGGCCGCAGTTCTGCCCATTTCCTCTTCACCCAAATATCTGGGATGTCACCTACATCTTCCAAGCATGTTGACAGGGTCAGAATCATGCTGTGAGCTGTCAGGAGCAAGGACACGGGATGTCCCTGCTGAACTAGGTAGACAGAGTCTCACTCTGTTACTCAGGCTAGAGTGCCGTGGCATCAGCCTAGCTCACAGCAGACCGCAGAGGTCCTGGGGCTGGCAAGGCAAAGCTGCTGCTCAGCGCTCCCGAGAAGCTGGGAGCTACGAGGCATGCGCGCACAGTGCGCCGGCGTAATTGTTTCGGTATATATGTAGTTGCCAAGTAATTGCGTTGTTGCGGGAGGGGGAGTGTGTATAGTGAGACGGTTCTTGCTCTTGCCTCAGGTTTAGATCTGACGTGAGCAGATGCGCGCCGCCTTGCCTCCCAGAGTGCTCGGAGAGCATATGGCTGAGAGCTAGGAGTGAGGACTTCCATCATCTATATAAATAGGATGAGGAAATTTATATTGGCCAATAACATATATATAGAAAAATTAGGGCCGGGCATGGTGGCGCTTGGTCCTGTAGGCTAAGGTTACTTGGGAAGGCTGAGGGGCAGAAGGGGTTGCTTAGCCGCAGAGTTTTTGAGGTGCTCGTGAGCGAGGCGTGACGGCCAGCGGTCAGTCACTCGTAGGCCTGGGGCCATGCAAAGAAGACTTTGTTCTCAAAAAACAAACAAAAGCAAAGAATTTTTGTTTTAAGAGGCACTGTAAAAAAAAACGCAAAATCCCTTAAGAATGGTCAAATGTCCGTCCAAGGCTCCAGTGTTCGAAATCTCTTACTTATGTCTCATATCTTTTCAGGTATGGGACGTTCCAAACTAAAATTCCTAAGATTCCTTTTATCTTTTATTTGGACTGATATTGTGTTTCGTATGTCTGTGTTCTTATTGTTTTGTTTTTAGATTACTTTGCTCTGAGCATTGGGTTCGTCACTCTGCCCCTGGGACTAGAGTGCAGTGGATCATCACAGGCTCACTGGAACCGTCTCCTGGGCTAATGCAGTCTCCGTAGACCTTCAGACCTCCGAGGAGCTATAGTGCACATGTCACCGCACCCAGCTTAGTTTTTATCTAGTATGTACTTTCGTAAGAGAGCAGCGGTGCATCAATATGTTGTTTCGCAAGAATGAGTCTTGAATCTGGGACCACCTGCAAGCCTCCGACAAGAAGTGGCTAGGATTTATAGGCAATGACTCTAGTGTGGCCTAACACATCTGATAGTTTTAGCAATTAATTTAAAATTTAAAAAAGTATCAGCCTGTTCATGGTGGCGCATGCCTGTCGTAGTCCCCACCTACTCCTGGAGGCTGAGGCAGGAGGATTCAGCTTGTGCCCAGGAGTGTCGAGGTTGCAGTGCAGGTACGGTGATGACAATGCACGCTCTAGCCTGTGATGACAAGAGTGATAGCCTGAGGTCTCAAAAAAAAGAAAAAGAAAGAAAGAAAGGAAAGGAAGAAATAAACTTTGAAGAAAGAGAATGTCAAGCTTAAGCGCTGTCAGCTCAGGAATGTTGTGGAAACCAGAAAGCCTCCATGACAGGATTTAAGAAACCTTCTCCTGACCCTGAAGAGCAGAATGGGTTGAAAGTTAGACACAGGCCGGGCGTAGCGGCTCACGCCTGTAATCCTAGCACTCTGGGGAGGCTGAAGCCGGCGGATAGATCAGGTCAGAGTTCGAAAACCAGCCTGCCTGAGCAAGAGTGAGACCCCTGTCTCTTACTAAAATACGAAACGACCAAGTTACGCATGGAGCAAGCTAAAAATGGTGCGCTATATCAGCAAAATTAGTAGGGGGCACTCTTAAATGTCGGTTGGCGCATTTTGTCTGTTATGTCCAGCTGTACTCCGGGATGGGGCTGAGCAGAAGGATGATTGCTTGAGGCCCAGGAGTTTGAGGTTGCTGTGAGCTAGGCTGACGCCACGGCACTCACTCTAGCCTGGGCAACAAAGTGAGACTCTGTCTCGAAAAAAAGAGAAAGTTAGACACAGAAGTGAACTATAAGGATGACAGAATGGCAAAGGATCAACTGTAACGGGCCTCTAATGCTAACTTCAGAGCCCCCGATAGAAAAGTAATGGGACCCTGACACCTGATATGCGGAAATTTGAGTGGATACATCTTAGAACCTTGAATTTCCAGTCTCTCCTGAATGCTCTGGGCAAAAAGAAGCCACCCCACCCTTTGCTAGAGAAGAGCAACTGCCCCTTGCTTGGAGACTAGACAAAGAACACCTGGTGAGGTGAACGCTTACAGAATATGAGGTATGTCCTCCTCACTGCTGCCCCACATTGCGACAGACCAATGACTTCCAGACGGAGTGGGCCCTGCCTGCCCCAGGTCCACGCCTTGGGCTGTGCACATGCCGGGCCCTCTGCCCGGACACCATCACTCCCTGGTTGCCTCCACCTCCCTCCACAGTCACACCCACCTCTTGCAAGTAAGGCCCTCCCCTGCATCCAGCCCCAGGTGCCCCTAACCAGAGGACACCTTTTGCTCCATGAGTCTGCCTGTCTGTCTTCTCCAAACAGAGGGGAGCTCCCCGGGACACAAATCTGCTTGGCCCATCACTCCAGGCTGGCATAGGAAAATGCTCAGCAGATATGTGTTGAGTGAATAAGTTAATGAATGAATGAATGAATGAAGGTGGACCTAATCCCCCAAAAGGTGATTTCCTAAGTCCCTTTCTCAACTCTTGCAGGTGGGCCAGTTCCGTTTTTAACAGCCCCCAAGGCAGGGAGGCCAGGTGGGGGGGCATGCCAGATATCATCTTTGATTCATGAGAGAATCGGTAAGATGGTAGAGCTAGTTCAAGGGCATTTTGAGAGACAGTATCTATAGTGCTCCAGGAAAGCCATTTTGAAATGGACACAAAATTTGTTAACACAAAAATTGTTAACATCCTAGAGGGAAATAAATCTGTCATCTTTGGGGTTGTCTTTTCTATTGAACAGAAATCTGGAAGTTAGGCCGGGCGCGGTGGCTCACGCCTGTAATCTAGCACTCTGGGAGGCCAAAGCAGGCGGATAGATCAAGGTCAGGAGTTTGAAACCAGCCTGAGCAAGAGCGAGACCCTGTCTCTACTAAAATTAGAAAGAAATTAGCTGGACAACTAAAAATATATAGAAAAAATTAGCTGGGCATGATGGCGCATGCCTGTAGTCCCAGCTACTCGGGAGGCTGAGGCAGTAGGATCGCTGAGCCCAGGAGTTTGAGGTTGCTGTGAGCTAGGCTGACGCCACGGCACTCACTCTAGCCTGGACAACAAAGTGAGACTCTGTCTCAAAAAAAAAAAACAAAAACCACACATTGAGGAAAGGATGCCCTATCCAACTAATGGTTCTGGGAAAACTGGATAGCCACATGCAGAAAAACAAAATAGGACCCATATCTCTCACCATACACAAAAATTAATTTAGGATAGATTGAAGACTTAAATGTAAGGCACGAAATCATAAAAATTCTAGAAGAAAACATAGGAAAAATTCTTCCAGATATAGGCCTAAGCAAAGACTTTATGATTAAAACCCCAATAGCACATACAGCAACAAAAAAAATAAATAAATGGATCTTAATTAAATTAAAAAGCTTCTGCACAGCAAAGAAAATAATCAACAGAGGGAACAGAAAACCTAAAGAATAGGAAAAAATATTCGCAAACTATACATCCGACAAAGGAATAATATCCAGAATCTACAAAGAACTCAAATCAGCAAGAAAAAAAACAACCTCATCAAAAAAATGGGCAAAAGACATGAATGGAATCTTTTCAAAAGAAGACAGACAAATGGCCAACAAAGTGATGAAGAAAAGTTAACG